CCGCCGCTCCAGTCGCATACGCCGCCCCCGCTCCAGTCGCCTACGCCGCTCCCGTTGCCAAATACGCCGCTGCTCCTCTCGCATACGCCGCCCCCGCTCATGCTTTCATCCACTGAATCCGATCTATTGTTTAGGAATTATGTTTGTCGAATAAATACGGTTTTTTTTTAGCAAGTATACGAAACGTACTGTACTCTGTTACCTTTTTACTTTACTACCCATATCTTTGAACATATTTTTAAGTTTGTCTTTGAATTTGGCGTTTGTTTCTCTTTTGTGCATCGTTTAGGTGTGCAAAAAGGTAAATATATACGTACGTTGTATAGTGGATATTTCTTGGTGGTCCTGCACAACGGAAAGGATAGAAAATCATGTTTGCTAATTTTGTTAAATGCATTTGATTATCGTTGGTATATAATTATTATTCGATTCGAATATATTCGATGGTTGGCTAAAATTCCTTTTTGATAGAAATGTTAAAAAATAGAAATTCCATGTGCCCCAAAAAAATGTTCGGCTTAGTCTTTTAAAAATAATACGCTCGTTTCATAGCTCTTTGTTTAAACTTATTTTTAATTTACGACACCGAGGAAATTTGAGCGAGGATATCGCAAACTTGCAAATTTATTTGCTTGTCGCGCTTGTAAAATAAACATAAATGCATATTGGAAATATAAAAGGACACGAACGTATTAAAGTTCGTAAAAGATAGAGTTCGTAGAGTTCGATTGCGTCATGCCAAAGTATTACAGAAGATAGGATAGCATTGGAAAGGTATGTGATTAATAAAAAAAATCTCGTGCTCGTATTTTCAATCGCTATCGTTCATTAAGGCGGCTGGCTTTCATTAAAAATTCACGGACAGACATCGGTCTCCGACACTTTCTCTGCCAGTGCCAATGTTGCTGATTACACAATACAACCACGCCTCATACGCATCGTTCGTGTGTAATGCACGTAATGTGAGCCATTGCGTTAATCGGGAACTTCAGGCAAACCAGATTCATGCAATGGTGCAAACCTTGATCCACTTACGATCCGACATATGTATGTACTCCCTTTCGTGACCACCTTTATGATTTCATTGACCACATTTATAATTGATCTTGAGATGATATTCGATTGATCGCTCATAGAGAAAGTGTACACAAATTACACGATTTCGTGATATTATCGAATAATTAAGATAACAAAGTGTCTTAGCTTTTATTTTAGTAAAAATGTGATATAAGAAAAAACAGATTAATTCGTATTTTATGAAATGAGACGCAATCTGCTTTATAAATGAATTTTATTTAACAAAACTATAATTACAGATATATTATTTTTACGTACAAAAATATATCTTGCACAATCTACGTAGCTGCGTGCACTTATTTGATAAAACGTCCTTAAATTAAGACAAAAATAATGTATGTTATTTTTCTGTTAATTGACTGAAAGTTTTCATAGTATACTCTCTTAACTCTAATAACATTTAACTTTAATACGTATAAATCACACTTTTACTTTCCCTTAATCTAATTATTAGGTATTTTGTCTTTTAACGACTATAAATTATATTAATGAATCTCATATAGAACTCAAAAATGGTGAAAAAATATATTAAGAAAAAATATTTATCTTGTATTGTACTTTTTACTCTTATGACCCTCTTTCTGGTGGAGCTAGCCTGAAAATTAAAATATAATATACAAAAGTTTTCTTTATTCGTATATATCCCAGGAGTATACGTTTATTTTAAATTTAAATTATATTAGTTACAGATTTTGAAAAAACTTACTTATGTATAGTTACATAATCTTCTGCAAGGACATTAGATGTGTCTAAAGGTGTCAGAAATGTGAATTGACTCTGTGGATGCATTTTAGTATGATCCAAAAGAATATCCATTATAATTCGGCGATTTACCTTATCCTGGTTAAAACAATGATTAATGATTGTAATATTGAGAATTATGTACAGATTAAGGAATTATAATATCCACAAAATTCTATATACCATAAAGACATCAAATTCATCAAGGAAATAAAAAGGTAAACCGGTACATTCCCAAAGTGCTAGAATGAAAGCAACAGTGGAATATGATCTTTCACCGCCTGACAATGATCTTGCATCGTTAATTGATTTGTTACTATCGTTTGACGAGTGTACTTCAAGTTCAAGTATTTTTCGTGCGTGGTCAATATTTACAGTACCCTAGCGAGAATAATTGAATTAAAAATATAACATTATTTGTTCCTTCTTTTTTAACTAAAAAAAATCACTATACGTACGTTTTTATTTCGTAAAGCAAGGATATTTGAAAATGAATTCTGAATTTTTTTACCGTATGTTTGTTTCATGTCAGTAAACAACTTCTTTCGAAATTCCAATCGTTTTATATGGGCCTATAAAAAATATATAAATATAAATAAATATATCAATAAACAGTTAAATAACTTTATGTATAAAACTTCATAATGTGTATGGTCACTCTCAGATATTAGTATTAGTTTGTAACATTAAACGTAGTAGGCACTAAACTAAGGAAACGTTTCGACTCTAACAGAGCATGCTGGAAACAATGACTCGAAATCGAAAGAACTTAAATTCTGGTAAAGAGATACTATTAGCTACAAAAAAATTGTACGGTAAAAGCACCGTGTTCGATGATTTAATGAGGTTAATGCTGCTATACAACAGTCAGAGTTTCTTGGGAAATAACGTCGTAAAAAATGTGCAAGTTTATAAATTCTGACTAGATTTACGACACGGAAGATATATCGCGGAATAACGTACTTGGTAACTTTTTTCAATTTTAGAGATCAAATGTATATCTTTCCCACATTTTGCTTCCTTTTCTTTTAATTCTTTACGTAATTCTTCGATAGTACCAAACATTCGTTCTATTTCAAGAATTTTATGTTTTACATCCTTGGATAATCTTTCAAGCTCGTTAATCGATCTGAAAAATATTGAGTTTTGTTTAATGTCATATGTCTTTAAATGTTCGTATTCATTTTACTAACCTTATCGTGTCTATTCTATCACATCGATTTGTAGCATCCGTCACTGCTTTTTCTGTACACCTTCGCTGTTGTTCAAATTCTACTGTTGCCTGCTGTAAGGCTTGATGTGCTACCTGCAGCTTCTTTGTAGCATGACGAGCTTGTGCATGCAATGCTTCCTTTTCGTCTTGTAATTCTTTTATATTTTCCTACATACAAAATTATATGTATTAATATGAAAAGAATAAAAATAAATCTTATAATTTTTATGTACCTTTAAAGGATTAATTTTTGAATTTAGATTTTGCCTTAATTCTCTGTGATGCTTAACTTCTTCCTCTAAAGATTCAACTGCTTTTTGAAGTTGGAGAATGCTAGCATTTAAATTTGATTCTTCAAATTTTTCTTGATGTAATTTCTTTTCTAACTCACTCAATTCGTTTTTCTGTGTAAAATAAAATAAAAATTTTCATAACATTCAAATACTCTTGGCTAAATAATATTTATATTTAAATATAACTTACAAAGACAGTCACAGATATAGTTTCATAAGCTTCGATTTTATCCTTTAGATCATTAATTGATGCTTTATATTGATTTCGAATGGCATGAAGCTTTGTTACTTCTGTTCTAACGCCGCCTAACTCAGTGCTTATACGTTTTTCTTTTTCAGAAATTGTTTTATACAATGCTATGGCACTATCTTTCTCATTATCTATGATATGAACCTCTTCTTCCAATGCACTAATCATAAAAAGGAATTTTATGATATTTAAAATAAAAATAAACGGACATAACAATAAACGGAAGAAATTTCATACTTAATAGTATCTGTAATAGAAACCTGAAGAAATCTAGCTTTCAAATTGCGTGGTCCACCATAACTTCTGTACTGTGGATCTGGGTAAAATGTATCACCCCGTTGTGTAAACGCTCTTTTACAGTTTTGTGGAACTTTGGAAGCCTTAGACATAATTTCAGCTGCTTCTTTGCTAGATGGAATTAATAGAATACATTCAACTTCACGCTGGTCAATTAAACAATTAGCAACCACCGGATCTGATATATCCATTGCATCCAAAAGATTGGAATAATGTGAAGATCTGGTACAATGTGCATGGACATCATGAACCTAGAAACGTATATATGTATATAAGTTTACATGATGTACTATACAGTATATTGCGGTATACACTATGAATTAATTTTCTTACAGTATTATAAAATTTACTACATATAATTTGTGGAGTTCTTTCATTCAAATAAATTTCTTTCATAATTGTATTTAATACTTTGGCATCACGACTGTTATCTACACAAAACGTACTAAAAGTACTTGCTCCTAAAAAATGTTCAACAGCAGGAGCCCATGCTGAATCTTTCATTTTTATGTATGCCCCTAAATATAAACAAAAACATATAATAAATCGAACACAACGATTCACTTTCATCATTATCTTACCAAGTGGACCTCGTGGTTTTTCCTTAAAATGTCCGTTACTATATTCTTCTTCGATTCTTCTTAGAAGACGTGGTATATTTCGCCCAAAAACAGTTAATGTATTATCAGAATATTTTTTCCTTGCATTTATATCCAACCTAATTTTTTCTGAAACAAAATGAAGCTATTATTCAATCTTATACTCTATAATGCAATATAAGTTAAATATATATAGTGAGTGAAAGCAATTATTCTACAAATAATATAATATTTACCTATACGTTTTTGACAATTATTGATTTCAATTCTTGAAGTTTGAATTTCTTTCAAAAGACGCACCTTATCAGTTTCTAAATGCATTTGATAAGTTTGCTTAGTTCGTAATAATGCTTCGGTCTCATCTAATTTTTGTTCCAAATTAGCTAATTGTTGTTTTATTTGATTTCTTTCACTTTGTTCTGCATTATCAGCACTAGAAATAAAAGAAATAAAAGTGTATATGTAATAATGTCATATAAAACTGGTATTGTACAAATACAAAAAAATCATATCAAACCTTTCTAATCTATGTATTTCTTTGCGAAGTGCACTAATATCATCTTCCAATCTTTTAACTTTACTTTGGACAGAACGCCATTCACGTATTTTAGTTGAATGCTCATTTTTTTTTATGCTATATTCTTGTCTCGCTTTATTATATGTTTCAGAATCATTATTAACTTCCTTTTCTGCAGACTCAATTTCTTCTTCCAATTCCCTGCGAATAAAAGATAATATAATAGTATATATTACATATCACTGTGTTATCTATTATGGAAAACCAATCAGACCGGAAATGGAAGTCTACTCTATTGCATTATAATATAATTAGTACGAAAATGATAAGAAATATTGTAATCAATATTATGTCATTAGAGAAATGAATGTTACTTTGAAATTTTAATAAATAAAATTTGTTCATGCTATTAAAAATTACAGAAATATTTCAGATGAATAAAGTAATCATAACTAACTAGTAAATATATATATATAATAGTAGATATATATATATAATAGTAAATATACATATATAATAGTAAATATACATATATATTATATATATAAATAATTCATACTGAATTTTTTTATTTATTTCTTCATCTTTTGATTTTGCAGATGATCCTGTATCCTGAAGCTGTTTAAAATTATCTTCACATTTTTTTAGAACATGCTCAAATTTTACTAATTTTCTTTCTTCTGCTATAGCCTATGTAACAAAATACATACTTTATGTCCATTTATTAAGAAATAATGTTACTTTATAAAATTTTTGTATATTAAATATAATACTTACAACTGCCCAAACTAATTCCTTCTCAAGATCAACTACTTCATCGCGAAATTTATCAATTCCTTCTGCTCTTTCTATGCTTTTTTTAAGTTCTTCTATCTCTTTTCTAGCATCTGCTAAAATCTATACAACATTTTCATTATATACATGAAATGATTTATATCTCAAAAACATAATGAAAACATACTTTATTATACTGTTTCAACTTTTCATATTCTTGTTCACATGTCAATTCAGCTTCTTTATAATTGTTACCAATTACATTTAGTAATGTTGCTTTCATAAATAGTTCATACTTTTCTTCTGGTCTGGATGATACTAGAAATGTTCTAGATATATCTTGATTTAATATAGAAATAGGATTATCTATTTGAATATTCATTGCCCGTAATATATTAGCCAATTCATTTTGTTTTGTCGAGACCACTTCACCTATAAATAACAATTCACAGAAGTTTTATTTTAAATAAATTTAAATGCGAATAAGATTTAAATTAATTATACATAATGCTTTCATAAATAATACTATCTTATATAAACATAAATATAAATGTAATGATTTTAATAACCTCTCCAATTCTTTATCTTATAAGATGATGTAGTTCCAATACTTCGGAAAACTGTTATTGAATCACCATAAATATCAGGTTTATATGCCATAGACCCATTATTAAATAAACTTACTTCAATAGTAGCTGAATTTTTTCCCTTCTTTATAAAATCTAAGCAGAGAAGAAGCATGTTATAAAAAAAGAAAAGTATAAAAAATATTATTGTGTATAATATGTTTATACTTTTTACAGATGCTCCACGACTAGTAATATTTGCCCTAGCACCAAGCCCAACTGTTAAAGCTGTTAATATTGCACTTTTTCCACTTCCATTACGACCAATAATAAAATTTACATTTGGATTTAATGTTACTTCCAAGGCATCGTGACACATGAAATTTCGTATTAGAATTCTTTTTATTTTACCTGTTTTAGACTGTAAGACAACACATAGGTATAAAAAACATGCAGGTAAGATATAGGTCTGTTGTATGTATGATTTATATATATTATTATTTTATATATATTATTATATATGACATATTATTTATATTAATATTAACGTGCTAAAAGAGCATAAATAACATTCAAAAAATAAAATATTGCCCTCAACTTTTCCTTACTATGACATTAACTCTGACCACTTACCTCTTCTGTAAATTGAGAAGCATTTTCTTTCGCTTTCGAAAGTTTTGATCGACATTCTTTTGATTCTGCAGATTTCCTTTTCCGTCCATTATTCGTATTACTTTCCATGGTTTCAGAAATGTTTATGATCTTAAGATGTACGTATAGATTCTGTATTTATTCAAATAGCCGTGCAATATCTAATTTTATAAACATCATCTTTTTGATGAACACTTATCGATCTTAATACAAACAATCTGGAATCATCATCGAAATATAATGCTTTCTAACGAATCAAAGTGTAAGAAATTCTTCTGTCATAATTGAACCGTTCCAATAATGTATTTTCTGAAATACAAAAGCGCCCCAGTGTCTCAGCGTATACCCAAACCTTTCCCGCCAGAAAGAACTCTACTACTCTGATTCAACTTTCATTGTCATTATATACAACATACATAGTGTCCACTAACTTTTTTTTGAGACAACCAATAGAAAGGTTACATCGTGAAAACGAAGCTTGCTATCCAATGGCGGGAATACTTTTAAAAGATTCAAATTAATTATATGAATTTTAATAATAATTTCTCATAGCTGATCATTTCATTAAAATAGTCACTAATAAGCTGATTCTCCGCTTTTCTATCATCTATTATCTTTTCTAGACTTTTTACCTAACCTCTTAATTGTATCTATACCGCAGTATTCATGCATTCCATTTTGTTCCGTTTATTCTTAACATTCTTCCCATTATTTCTTCCTCTTTTATGGAACTTTCTTTGCATTTCTCAGTTACCTTTTTTACAGAGAGATTGAGTTTTAATCGCAAAAACAATAGATAAAATAATAGATAATAATCCAAATTTCTGTATTATAAGTTCTGAATAAAAATAGGTGGCTATAGAAATACGCGTTTATTGAATCATAACGAATATATTAGGTTTAATATATAATTACCTTGACTTGGAGATTTATGCAAATTCACATTTCCATGAGCATATTTGAATGAGTATGATTTAAGCATATATCTATTTTATCTACAAATACTCTGACGAGTACTGTATGCACTTACATTAGATATTTTATATATTGTTGTATGTTACGCGCATTCTATGCATTCTATGCATTCTTATATCTTTAAATTTCTCATAATTGCATAAAAACCTGCAATTTAATAATTACATAAAATATTACCTTATGTGTGTTATACGATACTAAAAAGCAAAATCGAATGTATAATCTCTGTACATTGAAAGAAATGAATAAACTAAACTGGAACTCACACAGAATATGTGTATATCATTCATGCCTATAGTATTCAATACCTCCTACTACTTCCTATCACTGATGTGCTTCCTACCCCTACTCATTGCATCTCTCCCCCCTACCTGTTGCACAGGCCTTTAAAATTTAAATCGTTGTCGGTTAGAAGCGGTTGATCTGAGTGCACAGTTTATGTGCATTGCTGAAGTTCGGCGTCATCTTTTACGTGATGAGCTTTGTTTGGTTACAACCTGTTGATATGTACTAATATACATTGCAATTCTTTGCGTCATTTTATGAGAGTATATTGTATCCTAGTTCCTATATTAGTTCTAATACGTTTGGTGGGAAGAAAGTAAAAGGTATTCGTCGTGAAATGAGTGATTCTGGAGACAATATTAAATATAAATGGACCCCTGAAAGCACTTCGCTCTTGGTATCGGTGTGGTCGGATAGGCAAGTGCAAAAGCAACTTGACTATGCTTCGAAGCCACAACTTGTTTGGGAAAATGTTGCACGATATATAAAAAAGAAAGGATATAATGTCTCAGGTAAACAATGTCGATCACGAATGAAACAGGTCTTGGTTTGTTACCGTGAAGCCAAACGAGCTGGTACTCGCGCTGGTGTAGAGCAATATTATGAATCAATTGATAGAGTTCTTAAAAATAAACGTATTGAAGAAAATGTTATTGGCATAGATACTGTGGGTAAGACATATTGAAAATAAATTGCTAATTTATTTATTATTTTAGTTATCAAAATTAATAGTTCGAAGTATATAATAAATATTTATTTAATGGATACCATAATTAAAGAGTTTAATTTTTTATTTTTCATTAGATGCAACAATAAATGTTAAGTCTCCTCCAAAGGAAGTAAAAACAAGTAAAAATTTGCAAGTGAGACATAAATTTCAGGAGCCTGTACCATCACTCCATCGTACAGAAGCATTATCACCTACATGGACATTAGGACGTAAGAATTATATTCTTTTATTTAGATGGTATTTTAAATATATTAAAGGAAGTTTAACATATAAATTACCTTATAGGTGAAAATGAATATCCCGATTCTCCTGAATCAAATGAAACTATAATAGCACGTCCTTATAGAGTCTTTTCTCCAACAAGGGATGTAGCTATCAATACTGGTGAACAGTTAACTCAGATAGCTGCTAAATCAACACAGTGCAATACTTTTCCAGTAGAAGAATCATTAAATGTAAATTATAAACAAAATTTAGTTCCAGGTTATAATTATGGAGAAATACCCTTCCAAAATACGGTACAAAATGTGCAAAATCAAATAATCCAAGAAAATATGCAGCATAATTTGCAACAGAATCATATGTGCAATAAGCAGAACATTTTAGTGAATAACTTAAATCTTGAGCAAAATCTACAAAATTTAAATCAAGGTTTAACAGCACAATCTATAAATGTACCAATGCAACTTAGTTCAATGACAATGCAAAATCCTAATGTAGAACATATAATTCAACAACACAATCAATTGCAATACTTAGTAAATACAAGTAATCGTGCAATGCCTCAGGAACCACGAAAAATTGTGCTAGATCAGGCTAGAACAAATATGTGCAAACAGCTATATGGCAATTATTCAGCTCATATACCTGTTGTAGAAGATACAAAACGAATTGGATCTTTGTCCCCAGATTATTCACCAGATGTATCTCAAAATTTAAACGATGCTTTCTATCAACCAAAGAGTGATGAAAAAGCACCCAATTTAAATAAAACTTATAATACAATTACGCAAACTACAAACTCATTAAAAGTACAAAATCCTGAGATTTCTGTGATTACAAATAACGCAACATATAATGATGATAGTTTGCTAGAATTTCTGATAGATTCACCAACTCCATCCGAAAATGATAATAAATCAAAAGATAGTACCGTCAATACAGATAATATCCCGGATGTACCATTAAGGAAAAAGAAAGCTGAGAAATTGGAGCAACTCGTGTTAAGTGCAATTAACTCTCAAAATGAAGTCGTTAATAAGGTAAAGTACAAATCGCTGTTTCATCTTATTAGCACGTATAATCAGATGATTTGTTTATTAATTTTGTATCATTTCAGATACTTACTGCACAAAACGATATGGTGACAAAGTTTCTAGACATAGATAGAAACCGTCAAAGTAGGCTTGAAAATCGTTTAGACGATCTATTAAAAGTTGTTCATGCTTCTATACTTACGAAGCAAACTTCAGAAGGAGATATCGAAATACCTCCACCACCACCAGAACCTACGATAACATCCTTAGTACCTCCTCCACGACCTGGTGCTGCACCTCCAAAGTTAGATCTAGTTCCTCCAAAACCTTGTCGTGTACCTTGTACAATACCAAGTTCGAACATTGAATTGATTAATCAAAATACCATAGTAACAAGACCAGGTGTGGTATCACCTATAACTAGTCCAGTGAAGAAACCTGGTACTATATGGTCAAAATTGGGACCAGTATCTCAATCTCCTTTTGTGAAAGCTCAGCAACGATTAGGTTTACAAACAATTACATCTACGGAAACACGAACTCAATCATCTGCGGAGAGACGTATAGCTAAGGAAGTGGAGAAAACTATGGATATAGAAACGTTGATATTTGAAACTAAAAATTTTTTGGACATGGAGAAAGAACTAGAGGAGAAAATAGAAAACGCTCGCCTTGAAGCAACAATAAGCCAGACTTTACATTCACGTAGAAAATTATTTACTCAAAGAGAACCCACACCAGCAATGATATTAACTGCAGCATTTTTAGAGAATGAATGCCGCATGGCTGAACAATTTATAAGTTGTTCTAATATGTCAAATATAAATAAAAAAAAATTAAGAGATATCGATGATGATTTATTAGCGGGTCAAGGTGAAAGTTATGACCGTCTACGGCACTTCAATATTAAGTCTACTTACATTCCTGACGAACCTTGTGATACGTCTACGCCAGCAAAAATAGGAACTATTTCTAGTAATCATGAAAAAACATCCATACAAATGGTACCCAAGCCTACAATTCAACAGTTAGCTCAGCTTGTAATGAATACAGGAAGGTGGAAAGATGCTGGAGGACAAACTGGACAACAATATCTTGGGCATCTAGTTCAGCCAAATACACATAAACATCAAATTAACACACAAAATGTACCTTCAACCTTTTATAATGAGCTATACACAACAGGCCAACCTAAAACTATGTCCAAAGAAATTCAAACAAAAAATGATCAAAACTATGTTCAAGACTGGATGTTAAATAAATATGAAGACCCAATAAACGAACAGCGAATAACATATGGTCCTTCTTGCAACGTAACAAATCAAAAGCCAAACTTTCCTATAGGTTTTACAAGATCCAATACTGAAAATTTAAAGCAAAAGGATTCTAATAGCGAGATGTGCAGACCCCTTGAATTCAATAGTAATGTTATATCAGATCGTAAACAGAGCGTGCGTTTCATGGATGAGGCGTTGGCTGAATTACAGCGTATGTGTATTGAAACAATGTCTAAAGAACAACAAACAATGAACGATAGCTTGCCATATGTGTTGAATAATCCTAATACGCTTCCAATTGAGAATCGACAGATGATTGAAAAATATATTCACGATTTAATTCCAAGAAAATTGAAAGACAATAAAGACAAAGACACTGATTCCGATAACGATGATGAATTTTTGGATACTACTACTAGTATGCCTACGATTGTACCACGTCGAAGTTCTCTTACATCAACTGGTACTGCATCTACTGAAACTGCACATTCCATAAAATTCCCAAAACCAGAAAATTGCGTAATAGCTTAGTTATACAAATAAAGTAATATATTCACCACTTTGCTTCCATTTTATACAGTAGTTAAATAACAAAACGTTCATAAACATTCCTAACTATTATTATATTAGCATCTAAAAAGAAAATAAAGTATTATTTTCTTTATCAATTTGTTAATAATATAAGAAAAGAATAATATTTTTGAAGATGAAATACATTGCATATTTACGTAATTTGTGCAATATATATTTTTTCTAAAAATTATAAAAGATGCAGAACTAAAACAAAAAAAGATGCTTTAATGATAAGGCAATTATGTTATTCAATACTTGTTTTTATGAGATGAATAAGTCAAGCTTTGTTAAGTCAAAAAATATTCTTTTTCTTAAAAAGTAACACTTATTACTGTTATGCTTTCATCAACATGTTCAAGTTGTCATGTTAGTCATTGGATAAAAATCATTCCTATTGAACGTTATTAAATAAACTAAATTGTTTAAAGATTCTATTACTTTTTATCATATACATTATACATTACTTGTTATAACTTGATTAGTTTATTCAACAAAATTACATAATATTAATAAATTCTTTTATATTGTTAATTTGCGTTAAACTTTCGGTTTATTGGCATGGCCTGTAAATAATGATAGATTTTCAAGAATTTTTGACTTTCTGTTATAACATAGAACGATGTTGAAGATAAATGGGCGGTCGATTCTGAATCTTGGAATTTCAATCATAAAACTGATTATTACTTGCATCTCTATTACAAAATTGTAAAATAATAAATTATACATGCGAGACAACGCGTTAACAATATAAAAGGAAAGCAATGTTAATAAGAAATGTCGGAGTAATTTTAACATAATTTCTGTTAAAGCAGGTACATTTAATGTGAAATACAAAATTACGAAAAGTAGTTACTTTTTATTTCCACACCTTTATACTAAATGATATTTTTAGTAATAATGTGTTAACATTAACATTAAGTACATTAACATTAACTACATTAAGTGTATTGTTCATCGTTATGGAATGTTACGTCTGATTAGTAAATTACGATATTTACGTCAAGTAACATACTCAATGAAGGTAACTTTGGTAATTATTGATGGCTCATCCATCTCATCGACTTCGACGAGTTTTGAATATGTTATTAGAGGTAAGATTCTGAATAACTTTCGCTATACATATAATCGAGGTTCGACCTTAGCTTCCAAGATATTTGCAAAAAATTGTCGGTATTACAAATATACTGATGCATACGCTGTCACAGACGCGTAAGTATAGGCAGAATTCATTGGAGTGGTACCGACAGTTTCTTGCGAATGTTTCGGATACTAAGCGTGAACGGCGTTTATATGCATAGGAAAGTTATTCAAAGTGTTCTCCAAGACATTTGCGACATCTATCGTATGAGGGGGTGACTCGGATGATGGAATCTACATCATTCGTGAGACGATTAAGACGGATAATTAAGCACGTTTTCGCCCTTGGTTAGCACTTTTAGCACGGCTGGTAATAGAGTCGGCTGTGACTATACACGCAATATATATTTGCCATATGTTGCTTAAAAATTCATATACAAATTATGAAAAATTAATACATATAAAAATGCGGCGAACTTGTACAAACGTTCTGTCCTTTCCGATTTCAATGATTTTGAAATATGTTATAGAAACCAAATTTTGAACAATATTTTCCTATATAGTACAACCGGCAATTGGTTTTAGTTTCCGATATATTCGCAAAAAGCAACCGGTACCAGTACATTGAATTCAGTCTATAATTGTGAATCCGTAGCAGCGTATGTACTAATATTGGTTGTCAGCCGAATAAAATAACGTCTAACCCAAACCTAATTCTTGGTTTGGTATATGTTTGGATTAGGTGGTAATTAATCTAGCCACCATCAGGCGGTCAGTAACCAATACTGGCATATGCTGTCGCGGATGCACAATTGTAAACAGAATTCATTGCAGTGGGAAATGTTGATTTCTGCAATATATACAAAAATCACCGAAAGCCGTAGGGCGAACAAAGTATCAGTAATTCCAGTATTTATTTTATCTATTTATTTAATTCTTCTTTTTCTACTTTGAATGGCTTTCGCCTATCAGGATTATACCCATAAATAATCTCCATCCAATACAAATATCAAAATAATATATTTTTAAGGATAATTAACTTGTCCATTGAATAACATTACTATGTCTTGATCTTCAGTTTAGTTTTTATAAACGCCGTAGAAAAATGGTCGACCGATCCTCATCATTGGAGTGGGGGAGGAATACGAAAACTAACACGAATAAAGAATATTGCTGAAACAAATTTTATGTAAATTGCTCTTGTTGTTTAAAAAAAGGAGAATATTGACAATTTATTTTTTTTATTTATTTTTCGAAACATATATATAACTTTAAGTTATGATTATTTGTAGCATAAGGACAAAATAATCCAAATTGGAAGTGAGTGCAACACATTTATTGTCAAACAAGGTATTGTTGAAAAGCTTATAATTGCGGAGCACAAGAATTAATTATTACATTACTATGATATTACTATTATGGCACTACTGTTCTTAGATTTTGGGTTCTCTAACAAAACCACAGAATAATGGTAGGTTAATATCATTTTCCTTATCATCATTCATAGTTTTCACGATATAATAAAAGAATGGCTGATTAATTAGGAACTTCCTTAGATATATATAACCACCCTTTCTCTTGATTACAACGCGACCTGGAACAAAGTTATGTCGGACGTCATATTTAAGTGTATGAATGAAACAGAAACAGCAATGCGAAGCAGATATATACGCGCATATAGCAGATATATTCACTACCGGAAGTCACACATGCATACATGGCTGAAGGCACTACGAATTCATATCTGTGAAGTAAAGTTATCTAAATATTGATATTTGGAATGTGGGAAGTTACTTGTTCATTAAATTAAGATTGAAAATTTTATTGTAAAACATGACAATTATTTAGGAAACTGCCACCATCCCGGATTTTGATGACATTTGAATATATCGTAGAAATCAATATTTTAGCAACTTTTTCCTCTGCATGTTACTATCAGACTCCCTACTTTTCGAGATGTTTACGGAAACTGTCGGTAGCACTATTACACACTAGCACTATTACGCACTACTACGCACTATTACGCACTATTACTACAGTGAGTAGTATCTATAACTGTTCGTATGTCACAGCGCATGCGTTAGAATTAGTTGTCAGCCATCATGCGGTGGTTGGATAAACTAATCCTACATAAACTTTAAACGAACGATAAGAATCAACTTTGAGTCAGGTGTCATTTTATCCGGTCGGTAAACAGTCACTGCAGTGGTACCGAGAGCTTTTTGCGAATATCTCTGAAAATGACACTTGGCAGTTATATGTATATCAAGAAGTTATTCAAGACCATGCCGCTAATCATTGAAATGCAACATGCCGCAGCATCCTAAATAATTATATGAAACATTCTTTGCAAACAATGTTAATAACAAACACTTATACTAAACAACAGCACAATTGCTTTAATTCGACAAAAATTAAAATTCAGGGTGCAAAATACGTTTAGAAAACAAAATTGCAGAACTTTTAATCGTTTCTACGATGTTGATAATATTATGGGAAAATGAATAATAAAGAGAAAATTTCAATTTTATAACTGAGTTATAATAACATCATAATTTCCAAAACAAAGTATATCTATATCTAGTGGTTCGTATATCGAAATAAGTAAAATATCAGACTAACCCTTAACTGATATTTTCCTCTATATCATTTGTCTACAAAATTAAACGTATTAGGTAAAATTCTTAAATGGAAAATATGTTGATTTGTAAGAACCAAGTGGAACAATATGTAGACTAATTCTGTAACTTACGAGTAACAGCAACAGCTTCACTTCCTTCTTCATTCACTTCAATGTATGCCTTTTGTATAACATGACTGATACATAAACCTTCACCATCAGCAATCCCAGAAAAATCAGCACCAGCAAACGCATCACTCAAACCCATCTACGCAAAATTAGGAATTAAAATATAAAAAATAGTTATTTTTACATGAGTTACACTATATATATGTATGCATATACCTCTATTAAGAGATTCCTAAGATCTATGTTACTTTCCACCTTGAACTTTGGTAACCATAATTCCATATCTTGCACATATCCTTGACTTATAATGTTCGTTAAACTTGTATTTTGCAATTTTTTCTCAACATCAGACAAACTATCAATTTCATTTGGAAGAATTATGATCATACTCAATTCGTCACCCTGGAACACTTATTTGCTTCTTTTTGTACTTCACAAAGTTTTACAAAGAAGCAGCTTTTTTTATACATTAGTGCTTTTTCCTTCTAAACTTACCTTGTATGGTATTACAGCGAATTTAGCATTTAAATCTACAAGATCTCCATATTTGTATTTACCTCGTCTATACATTGTAGGAACATTTTTTACTTCAACTTTACTAGTATGAAATGGCATGTCGCTAGTCGATTTAGGATCGAACTTATCTTTCCATTGGCCTTTAAAATATACTGCATTTACAAGTACTAACTTTGTCAAATCACTTAGCATTGCTGTTAACAGAAAAGATTGACAAAAACAGAAAACTATTTACCATAATTTGAAATATTGAAGTTAGAATGCATTCAATCAAAATTTTGTATAGTATTTTCTTTATACTTTAACAAATAAAATAAACATATACAAACCAGCAATTACAAGCTCTTTAATGAGATTATTTGTATTTTGTTCAGCCCAACTATTAATAATATTTGCAGCTTCCTGACTTTCAGCAAAGTTTACTAATTGAGAAGAAGAGCGGAAATAAACTTCAGTTAAATTTTTGTAACTTGGTTTCAAATTTAAACTTGCAGCTACGAAGACTTTATTTGCAACAGCCAATTTATTGTCTTTCACATTCTACATGAAAACATGAAGAAAATATTATATAGCATAAAATAATGCATTTGCTATTTTATATTAATAAATTTATAATTTATACTATACATTAAAATAATAAAAGCAAAGGGATGTGGGAGATACCTACGTTGAGATTATCAATAAGTGACTGATAACCAGATGTGGCAAGACTCTCTGAAGTTGGCAGATGAAGTACATTTCTGAACTGTGCTTCTGTGTTTCCACGAGCTCCAAAAGCTGTCATAGCAAGAACGATACTTGCACTTAAAGGGGACGTTACAAGGTTGCCAGGATTGTGTTGTACCACAGTCTGAAAACAATAAGTGTCGCATAATTTATTCATCAGTATTTGGAATAAATTTTAAATTCCACTATTTTACCTGGAAAAATGAAGAACTAAATTGATTTGCACCTTCCACAACGGAGCGCAGAGCTTCAACATTTTTCACTGCTTCTGACATTGTTGTTAGGACAAGACCCACCAACCAGATACTACTTATTGCTAAAAAAATTTGGTAACTAATTGTTATTAAAAACTAGCAGTACATATTGTATTGTAAATCTTAATAATAAATTTCTTGCTTTATAAATTTGGATGATTGTGCGAAATTGATTTTCGCATTTTTCAAACACATCTTGTACGTTTCCTCATTACCATACCCTTGCTTTCAAAAAGAACTCCTCAAATATCATGGCTGAATAATTCCGAGTTGTACGGATATTTAGGCTGACCTCTTATCGTCCGCGTAAGGAGGTTTGCTCGCGTGCAGGGATATTTTGGTCGACTTTAATTAGCAATAACTAAAGAACTCAGCCGAAAACACAATTTTTTTATTCACGATTTTCGTCTTATTTCGGCTGCAGGAGTCACCTCCTAAATTTTTGGAAACCTGCAGCCGAACAACCTGTATACAGCTTTTTCGCAGTGAAATGTCTAGTATACACCCAACAAAAATATCAATAAAAAAACAGTAAGTTTTTAATTAATATCATTAAAAAATATACTATAAAAGACATAAACTAGTAAAAGATTAACATTATTACTTGGAAGTATCATTGCACCGTAAAAATGTTACAGCCAATAGATCGAAGAGATAATCAATCGGGTCTTGAGACTTAAAGACAACATTATTCACACAGTAGATATCTCGGAAATAACAATAAAGTGTCGTTTAGAAATACGTATTTCTGATACACACTAGACTCCTTCGCTTGTTGTAATAACATTCTTTGATATGAAAGTAAAAGTGACGAAGGTTGAATGTATATAAGAAAAATGATTACTTGAAGAGGAAGGTTTAAACGAGGATTAATTGATTTCATTGACTATCGAAGAGAGATTATATATAGTTTAAAGAGTACTCGACTTACGCATTTATCAGTAGTAGTACTGCAGATTTGTAAGCTTTTTTTGTTACGTAAGAAGGCAACATAATCGTTTGATAACAACATTTTAAAAGGAAGTTCAAACATTTTAAAAGTGATCGTGACCTCTCTAGTGATATCTCCTTTCTGTCTCCCATCACGGAGGTTAGTTTTACATATTTATTATTTCACGAAACATGTTATGAATATATATATATGATTCATGTACACGTGCTGTCAAAGAGTTTATCTGGTTCAATGAAAAGAAAAACATAAGTAATCCATAATAAGTATGTTTACCAAATTGTAAGCGTTGCTCAAATAGCACATTTCCTGCATAATATACCTGTACCTGCTCACACTTCCTTTAAATTATCCCAAATCCATTCATGTCACCTATGAACACTTACACTACGGGTACGCTAATAAGAACTACGCTAGAAACTGCTCAAAATTAGATGAAACGCAGTGATCAACAGGTCGATTAATTCATAGTTGCAGTTTGAAGCGCTAATGCTTGAAGTGAGGTTCGATTGACACTTGCGCATGAGTAATAAAATAAACGCTGAGAAATTTGACGAACTTTAAGTAGTAATAGAAAAAAGCATTGGAGTTGGAAATAAAATATTTTTTCCAGCTTAACTACGTGAAATAAAAAATGTATAGATATAATATATGATATTAAGATAATTATGCTTTATAAAATATTTTCGTCATTACGTAACAAATTGAATTTATTTTTTAGTAATAGTCAGACTACTAAAAGTAAATTGGAATTCTATAGATTTTATAAATAACGAATAAGAGACATCTACAAGTAAATTTTATTTAAATAAGCAGACTTCGTAAGTATGTAGGTATGTGAGTACATGTATGCAATATATAGGATCAAGTATATTATACACTAAAACTATTTTACGTATCGAATAATACGCATTAAATATTTAACAAAATTATTTTGTAATTTATTTGATTCGCTATTCGTATATATTTACAAAAAAGTGTTTTAAATAGATGAGAAATAAAGAAAAATATGATAGAAATGGCTTTACCTAAAAAACTGTGGTACTGTAGTTGTTGAGTGTCTGGTTGGAAATGATCCCAAATAGCATCTTCGGGGTGTTGCTTGTTACATAGAAAATAGTTACATCTATATATCGAAGATGAGATAATCGATAAGATTATACGTGAAATTCTTGAAACACAAGTGTATTATGTGTAATATGGATTAATTCCAAGTGGATTAATGTAACGGTAAATAGAGTACAAAAATTTGTCTTGTAAGAAAGAAGGAAGAAATTTACTTCTTGATTATTTTAGAGTATTATAAAAGATATCATGAAATACTTTCGATCTTTCTATGTATTATTTTATTACGTATATGTATTATTTAAATACATTTAATACAATATAATAGATGATGTCATTTCTTAATGATTTTATTCTACATATTGGGCATAAAATTTAAGCTTTCTCGTAATATCCACAATTGATATCCATACCGCGAAAAGAAACTCTATTTTTATCACAACATTCCTCATGATTAGGATTTTCTGAAAAAGTTTGAATCCACAGATTGGTTCCTGTGATCGTTGTGGGCGGCGGTTTGACGGATAAGGTGGTGGTTTTGACTTATCAGCGCAACATGGTCTGCAAGGGTCCCATAAATAATATTTTTCTTGTGAATATTTCTTTATTTGTATTTTACAGAACTGGCGCTATAAAAGTTAAACGAAAATGAAACTATGATTTAAAAGGTACGAGCGAAAGAAAAGGAAAGAGGAACAAAACAATACTAAAGAAAAAGTTTCCTATTACAGGAAATATTTTTGATCATGTAAAAATATATAAATATTAATAAACTCCCACTTTCTCGGTTTTAAGATATTAAAGGTATATGCAATATCTCTTTATACCATCTTTATCTATAAATATCTTTATGTATATATATATATATATATACTGTTGACGAAGGAGTAAAATGCAAATTTGAAGCGAATACAATACATTTATTGCGACACAAGATATTATTAGAATGCTTATAACTACGAAGCATACGAATTAATTATCACATTACAATGATATTGCGATTATGACATTACTGTCCTTAGACTTTGGGTTCGTTAACAGAACCACGGAATAATGTTTTTAAGGATTCTTAACGTGTCCACTGAATAGCATTACGATGTCTTGATTTTCTGTTTGGCTTTTATAAATAGCATAATAGAACGGCCGATCAATTTTCATTGGAGTCCAACTGGGATACGAGTAATACATAAGCACCATTCCTGAAACAAATTTTATATACGCGTTTTTAATACCGTTTTAGCAAATGTACTGATCGAACTGAATCTCTACAATTTCTAGGATATCTTAATATATCATAGGAGAAACGATTCTGAATAACTTTTTCCTGTACATGTAACCACCGCACAGTATCAGTTTTCGAGATATCCGGAAAAGGCTGCCGGTACCGGTGTCGACCGCATATATGTAATATAATTCAAATTTAAAGCGAATGCAACACATTTCTTGTGGGACAAGGTATTATTAGAATGCTTATAACTACGAAGCACACGAATTAATAATCGCATTACTATGACACTACTGTTGTTAGATTTCGGGTTCGTTTACAGAACCGCAGAATAATGGAAGATTAATATCATTTTCCTTTTCATCTTTCATAGTTTTTATGATATAATAAAAGAATGGCCGATTAATTTTGAACTCCCATGTAGTATGATCCATTTTCTCCATCATAAGTAAACCTGAAACAGAGTTATGCCGAACGTTATGTGTAAGTGTATGAATAGAGCAGAAACAGCGATATGATGTAAACATATACACGTTCGCTACCGGAAGTCACACATGCGTACATGTTTGAAAGCACTAAGAGCTACCCAAAGCTCACTGTCTCATATCTCTGACGGAATATTATCTAAATATTGATATTTGGAATATGGAAAGCCACTTTTTCCTGGAACAACTATGATGAATGTGTTAATATTGAAAGTTTATTGTAAAACATGACAATTATTAAGGAAGTTGCTATATTTTGCCTACAAAATTAACTATATCAAATTAAATTCTTCAACAGAGGATATGTTGATTTGTAGGAACCAAATGGAACATTACGTATATTAACTCCGTACCTCAAAATAGTTAGGTATAAATTACACAGGTTGCTGAGTCTACGATAATCCGATGAATATCCTGCCCTTTTAACCTAATAATAGCTTGCTTTCTATTTGCTCTATAATTTTCTGAAAGTCCCTATAACGTAAATTACATATGAACACACACATACACACACACATCCACGATATTTTTAAAATATTTGTAAATGCAATCCATTAGATGAACAACCTCCGTAAGATTATAAAACTCGATAAGGCAAAGCATTCGCAATTTAAAAATTTTTTTGTTTTTATCTCGAAATTAGAGACGATCAAAGGTTTTGTGAAGTGTACAAATATTCATATATATAATGTAAGTACATAATACTGTAATACGATATAATATACTGTAATACTATATAATGTAAGTACAAGCACTGTAACCAATTACGCATGCTCTTTCATACAAGTTAATCATGCTAACTAATATGCAATTAATCATGCCTTTGATTAATTTCAATCCTATCAGTGATAAGATTGTAACGAAGATTTTTATTTTCATTTTTTTTCTTTCCCTAAGTACATTACACCATTATCTCATAGAAAATATGGATAGATATAAAATTAGCCTAAGTAGTGATATAACAGACGACTGTGAGTCATCCTGTAGCCACTAAGCAAGAATAGTATGAAATAAATAATAAGAAACTTCTTGTCATATTACATTACCTTTTGAATATTTTCATACCTAGTACTTGCACAAAGTGATATTCTACTTAATTTAAATATAAACTGCATAACATAGAATGTTTATTCGCTTACCAGTAGCAGCAGCAGCTTCACTTCCTTCTTCATTCACTTTAATGTATGCCTTTTGTATAACATCACTGATATACAAATTTGCACCATCAGCAATCTCAGAAAAATCAGCATTAGAAAACGCATCAGTCAAACCCATCTACATAGAATAGGGATTAAAATATAAAAAATAGTTATCTGTAAATGAATTACACACTATATATATATACCTCTTTTAAGACATCATTGAGTTTGAGCATACTTTCCACCTTGAACTTTGGTAACCATAATTCCACTTCTTCCTCATATCCTTGACTTAGAATGTTCGTTAAATTTGTACTTTGTAATTTTTTCTCAACATCAGGCAAACCATCAATTTCATTTGGAAGAATTATGATCATACTCAATTCGTCACCCTAGAAAATTTAATCGCTTCTTTTCGTATTTCGAAAAGTTTTATAAGGCAGCGCCTTCTTTTTATACATTAGTGCCTTTTCCTTCTAAACTTACCTTGTATGGTATTACAACAAATTTAGCATTTAAATCTGGAAGTTCTCCGTATTTGTATTTACCTTGTCCATACATTGTAGAAACATTTTTTACTTCACTTTTACTAATATGAAATGGCATGTCGCTAGTCGATTTAGGATCGAACTTATCTTTCCATTGGCCTTTAAAATATATTGCATTGACAAGTACTAATCTTGTCATGCTATTTATCGTTTCTGTTTATAAAAAACATTCATAACAATATAACACTACATAGTATGATTCGTCATATTGAAGTTAAAATGTATTCAATCAAAATTTAGTATAGTATTGTTTTTACATCGTAATGAATAAAATAAACATATACAAACCAGCACTTATAAGCTCTTTAATGAGATTATTTGTATTTTGTTCGACCCAACTATTAATAATATTTGCAGCTTCTTTATTTTGAGCAAAGTTTACCAATTGAGAAGCAGAGCGGAAGTAAACTTCTGTTAAATTTTTGTAACTTGGTTTCAAATTTGAACTTGCCGCTACGAAGATTTTATTTGCAACAGCCAATTTATTGTCTTTCACATTCTGCATTAAAACATGAAAAAAATATTCTATAGCGTAAAATAATACATTTGTTATTTTATATTAATAAATTTATAATTTATACTATACATTAAAATAATAAAGGCAAAGGGATGTGAGGGATACCTACATCGAGATTATCAATAAGTGACTGATAACCAGATTTAGCAAGACTATCTGATGTTGGTAGATGAAGTACATTTCTGAACTGTGCTTTTGTGTTTCCACGAGCTCCATAAGCAGCCATAGCAAGAACAACACCTACGCTTAGAGGGGATGTTATAAGGTTGCCAGGATTGTGTTTTGCAACAGTCTGAAAACAATTTGCATCTCTATAGTCTATTTATCTTCAATCATCTGCAACATAAATAAACATTTCATAAACAGCTTTTATAATAAATTTTAAGTCCCACCATTTTACCTGGAAAAATGGAGAACTAAATTGATTTGCACTCTCCAAAACGGAGCGCAGTGCTTCAACATTTTTCTCTGCTTCTGACATTGTTATTAGGGCAAGAGCCACCAACCAGAAACTTCTTATTACTAAAACAATTTAGTAACAAATTATTATTGGAAACTGGCAAAATAGATTGTATTGTAAATCTTAATAATAAATCTCTTGCTATATAAGGTTTGAAGATTGTGCAAAATAGGTCTCCGTTTTCTTTAAACACATCTGGTGCACAGCTTCCTCATCACCATACCCTTGCTTTTAAAAAGAACTTCTCAAATATCATTGCAATTCCTCGATAATTACGTGTCATACGAAGATGTTTAAAGCATTGGCAAAGAGTATTGCAAATATCTCTTTCGGAATGATTTCTCTATTGCTACATAGTCATGTCATAGGCATTTTGGGGCAAAAGGGTAAACCAGTTTTGGAAGAACAGAGTTATTCTGACGGTCAACGTGAAAGTTTCAGAGAACTGAAAATATCAAGTTACAGTGTTACTTGGATGTATAGTGTGTTCAGTACGCGTGGTGTGCGAAACTGCGACATAGAGTACTTCATCATATTTATGAAAATTGAAGAAGACAAATTTTTACAAACATATTAGTTGGAAAATCCAACGCATTTCCAATTTTCCCGCGAGGATATTAATTACCGGGGAGGGAACATTTAATAAATTTGGAATGACAAATATACGTAACGAACATTTCTGGGCAAGAGAAAATCCACACGCATTCAGAAATAGTTCATGCAAGATGCTGCACCACCTTATTCTATCAAAGCAGTGCAACAGTCTGGTTCGGCTGCTTTGAAAACAGATGGATAAGTTGAAAAGGACCTGTGCCTTGGTCTGCTTGGTCTTCAGATTTAAATCCTTTCGACTTTTACTACCGGAGAAACATAAAGACACAATACGGTAGAATTTGGAGAGAAGAGGCATGCTTTGTTTACAAAAAAATGTCAAACGTCTATTACAATCTGTTGCATTTTTGTACCTACTCGTCACCAAGACAATCGCGGTGCGTGTGTCATTTTGCCGTGGTCATTCGCAGAGGCAAAGGATTCGAAGGAGGAAAAGGTAATCCTTTCCACTTGCAATTACGATATGGTAGTTTTCGACATGTTCTTATGGATTTCCACGAGTAAGCTGGTTTAATGTTCGATCCACCATTTCTTCTCTTCCACGATTGTGTACGAACTAAGCTGCAGCCCATGTATCGTTCGAATTGAGGATCACTGAGCGCGCCGTTGCTTAGGCTGACCATCTTGCTTCCGCGTAAGGAGGCTTGCTCACTTGCAAGGATATACTGACCGATTTTTAATTGACGATAACTAAAAAACAAAGCCGAAAGCGCAATTTTTTCTTGATGTTCGACGTCAATAATCCCTTAAATTTTCGGAAACCTGTAGCCGAACACACCACATATACCTTTCATGCAGTGAAATGTTTAACATACATACAACAAAAATATCTATAAGAAACAATACGTCTATATTTAATATTATTAAGAAATATGCTATAAAAGACACAAATATAGTAGAAGACTAAACATCATAGTTAGTGCCATTGCGCTGTAATAATGTTAAGGCCAAAAGGTCGAAGAGATCATCGGTCAGGTTTTAAGACTCAAACACAACATTTCAGTCCTGCTGTAGAAATCTCGAAAATAACAACGATGTATCTTTTTGAAGTATGTATTTCTGAAACACAATAAACTCGTTTGCTTGTTGTAATAACATCCGTTGATGTGAATATAAAAATCATGAAAATTGAAGATACAAAAGAAAAATAATTACTTGGAGAGGAAGGTTTAAATGATTATTAATGGATTTGCATTCACTACCGAAGAGAAATTGTATATACTCGGTATAATCCGAGGCGAGATCCGCGATAACCTGTATTGTCAAATACACATATATAAATTTACTCACATATACGCATGGTGGCGATCGGCTCGTTTTACTGGTCAATTCTCTTCTAAAGTTAAACGCAGACTGCAAGAAGAAACGTCTGAACGAATATAAAAATGCGATAAACAAACTCAGAAAATCCCTGGCAGTGGACAGAGCGAACCTATCAAGGATCGGTAACGAACGAACAGCCAATCACGAAGTACGCATTCGATTGTAGGTATGATCGAACAGATCAAACGAACATGAATTTTAAATCTCATTGGTATTCCACTCTATATCACAAATGGGCTTTATATTACAAACATAAACAGGGCAATGATATTGTGACTATTATTATCGGAAAAATGTGGGTTTCCTCGTATTTTCCAACAAACATCATTAAATTGCTGTTACCATAAATATTTACACATATCTATTACATGTTTTCTCTGTAACTGATAGATTTACGCAAATTCTGTTTGTTCATTGAAATAATTTTCAAAAACGTGACGTTGATTTATTTGAAAGTTATTTGTGTAATTTCTTTCTTCGAATTTTATTCGTTCTTCTATATATATAAAATTCCAATTCCACGAAAGAAACAAATTTTGATGTTTTTGTTATTTTGCATTAGAGTGCAATGTATTTTTTTTTATAGTTTCAAAAAAATTCCTAGTTAAGATTTGAATATATGATAGAAATTACACAAATGCATGGGCTCTATCAAAATATTTGTAGAATAGCGACGAATTACGTCTTGTACTAGCGACTTATTTCGATCGATGTTTACGTTAGACGCGAGACCTACGCATGAATTAGGAGGTACCGCTAATTAGAATATGCTCTACCAGTAAAAAAGCGACAGAAATATTCTAAGAATAATATGCACGTGTAGAAAATAAATAAAGATAGGCACGTAATATTGTTATTAGTCTACAGTGATAGATTCTGAATAGTGTGTTTCGAAATTGAGCATTTAAGTAATTAATGTACAAAATATTAGTTTTATATTTTATTACAAATCTGAGCAAATTAAATTATAAAGAAAGTAAAACTTTTTTTACCACATGTCAAATAATCCATTTAGACCTGAAGAGTATTTGACTTAAGCATTTATCAATAGTAACTTCAAATTTGTAAGTTCATAAAGGATATAACGTAACAAACACGAAGATGGTACCCCGCTGGGGGTAGCCACCCACATGATAATCAAACAGCTAAAAAATTCAACCAAATGTTCAAATTAGACAAATTGTGAATGTGAAATATTAAATAAAAAAAAATAAAAAGAAATTTGTAAGTTTTTTTGTCACGTAAGGAAACAACATAATCGCTTGATAACATTTTAAAAGAAATATTATCAACAGTGACCCTGACCTACTTAGTGATATCTCATTTCCATCTCCCATCACAGAAATTAGTGTTACATATTTGTCATTCGATGAAACACATTGTGAGTATATAAATACGTATGATTCATGTACATATGCTGTCAAAAAATTTATCTGAGTCAATGAAATAAAAACATAAATAATCCATAATAGGTATATTTACCAGATTGTAAGCGTTGCATAAATAGCACATTTCCTGTATAATATACCACTACCTGTTGACACCTTCTTGGAACAATAAAAACACATTCACTTCACCTGCCTGTGCACTTTTACACTACTACGTACACTGTGCTGTGTAGTAAACACTGTGTTAGAAACTGTCCACAATTAGACGGATCGCGGTGTTCAACAGATCGATCAATTGATAGCTGTAAGCTGTCGCACAAATGCCTGAAGTTAGGTTCGAACGAGAATTGCGCATGAGTAACAAAACAAACGCTGCGAAATCTGACGAACCTTAAGTAGTAACAGAATCAAGTATACGAATTGGAAATGAAATATTTTTTTCAGCTTAACTACGCGAAATAAAAGATGTATAGATATAATGTATGATATTAAAATATTTACACTTTAATGAGAATATATAACAAATTGAATTTATTTTTTAGTAATAGTCAGACTATTAAAAGTAAATTGGAATTCTATAGATTTTGTAAATAACGAATAAGGGAAATCTATTTATTTAAGAGTACATGTATGCAATGTATAGGATCAAATATATTATACACTAAAACTTTTTTACGCTTCAAATAATACGTATTAAATATTTTACAAAAATTATTTTGTAACTTACTTTATTCGCTATTTGTATATATATACAAATTCATGAAAAGGTGTTTTAAATAGACGACACGAGGAATAGGAAGAAATACAATAAAAATGGCTTTACTTAATAAGTTGTAGTACTATAGTTGTTGAGTGTTTGGTTGGAAATGAACCCAATAGTATCTTCGGGGTATGGCTAGCTACAAAGAAAACAGCTACATCTATATCTTGAAAATGATATAATCGATAGGATTATACGTGAAATTCCTGAAAAGCAAGTATATTGTATGTAATATGGATTAACTCCAATTGGATTAATAGAAAGCTAAATAGTGTACTAAAATTTCTCTTGTATGAAAGAATAAGGAAATTTACTTCTTGACCGTTTTATAGTATTAGAAAGGATATTTATAACGAAATATTTTAGTTCTTTCCATATGTACGTATATATATTATTTGAATACATTTAATAAAATATATTAGATAATGTCATTTCTTAATGATTTTATTCTACGTATTGGGCATAAAATTCGACGTACGATAAAAGAAAATTTAAGCTTTCGCGTAATATTCACAATTGATATCCATACCGCGAAATGTTCTATTCTTATCACAACGTTTCTCATGATTAGGATTTTCCCGACAAAGTTCGCACCCATAGATTGGTTCCTGTGATTGTTGTGGGCGGCGGTTTGCCGAGCCAGGTGGCGGTATTATTTATCATCGCAACAACAATATTTACAAGGATTCCATAAATAATATTTTTCTTGTGAATATTCCTGTGTTTATATTTTTAAAAACTGGCACAATAATAACTAAACGAAAATTAAACTATGATTTAAAAGAGAAAGAAAAAAAAGAGGAACGATACTAAAGAAAAAGTTTCATTTACATAAGTTTACATTTATTGTGAGACAAGGCATTATTAGAATGCTTATAACTACGGAGCATACGCATTAACACTTTACCGACCGATAGCCTGTCAATCGGCTTTTTGTCGCCGACACTTACCAACCGATAGCCGATTAATCGGTTTTTGTCGCCGACACTTACCGACCGATAGCCTATTAATCGGCTTTTTATTGCTGACAATCTTTCTCATTATTTGAACAGTAATTTGTTATTTAGTACTAAGATACCTTGCTCAGTTGCGTCAGTTGCGTTGATTTATAAGCTCCAACAGTTTTATACCAATTTGAAAAACTTACCGTTCGCGATGAACGAAAAGAATGGTATTGGAAAGTCTAAACCGAAACAGAGCCGGCACCAGAGAGAATCGGCGCTTGAGCTGCCGGTCGAACGTGCGTATGCCGTTGAACCGCTAGCGGTCAGTAAAGTGTTAATTATCACATTACTATGATATTGCTATTATGACACTACTGTCCTTAGAGTTTGGGTTCGTTAACAGAACCGCAGAATAGTGAAAGTATCATATCATTTTCCTTTCCAACATTCATAGTTTTTATGATATAATAAAAGAAAGGCTTATCAATTTTCATCCTCGCCCTGTAAGGAGCACACTTGAAATCCATCATGGGATCTGGAACAGAATTATGCCAAACTTTTATACTAATAAACCAAACTATTATATATTAATATATTATTGCACATTAATTAAAAACATATTATAGAAACATAATTCGTGTTACGTCGCGTAACACTCTACCTAGCCCAGGCCACACACCGCGGGCAATATGGTAACCAGATATCTTCGGATACTCACTGCGTACCCTCAACAGTCTCAAGTGCCTTCCATAAATCTCATAGATTTCCTAGTCGAGGTCCTTCAAACCGAACAAACGTCTATTTTCGAAGAATTTCTAAAGACTATTGTCTACCACGATTGGACAAGGGAAAGTTAGTTTTTCTCACGTATGATGCAACTTTCCTCCCACTAACCACTTTCTCTTGAGGACTGTTAAGACCCTTCGTTTAACCAATTAACAACGAAGCCTATTTCCCTCACTCTCTTAACTAAAATCGTCACCAACAAATCCGATGGTCCCGTGCGCTGGACACACCCATCTTTAGCTTTCCTCCGACACAGCATCGTCTCCCAAGACAGTACTAATTTTACATCCTTCGAACGGTCAACATCCTTTAACCGGGTATACACACCCGTAGATCAGTCACTCATTCATCTCGTACATACGCACCAGCGTAACTGCCTTCGTTACAAGTTGTTGGAATAAACGGTGAAATATAACTTACTCTACTGTGTCATATTCATTTAACCACCTCTGTTATCTTAACCGAAACAGGGGAACGACTACTTCGCGGCGTCGATTCACCGAATCGTAGCGAGAATTTACGCCTCTCGCTGACGCGTTTTCCTCGCGACCGCGTCTCTCCGCGAACGGTCGTAACAATTTGTAAGGAACAACAAGAGAGCAACAGGAACGATGTGAAGAAAATATTTTCACGTTCGCTACCGGTTGAAATAAATAATAAGAAACTTCTTGTCATATTACATTACTTTTTGAATATTTTCATACCTAGTACTTGCACAAAGTGATATTCTGCTTAATTTACACGTAAACTCCATAACATAGCATGTTTATTCACTTACTATAAACAACGGCAACTTCACTTCCTTCTTCATTCACTTCAATGTATGCCTTTTGTATAACATCACTGATATGCAAATTTTCACCATCAGCAATCTCAGAAAAATCAGCAGTAGTAAACGCATCAGTCAAACCCATCTACATAGAATAGCAATTAAAATATAGAAAATAGTTATCTGTAAATGAATTACACTTTATATATATACCTCTTTTAAAACATCATTGAGTTCAAGCATACTTTCCACCTTGAACTTTGGTAACCATAATGCCGTTTCTTCCTCATATCCTTGACTTAGAATGTTCGTTAAATTTGTACTTTGTAATCTTTTCTCAACATCAGACAAACCATCAATTTCATTCGGAAGAATTATGATCATACTCAATTCGTCACCCTAGAAAATTTAATTGCTTCTTTTCGTATTTCGAAAAGTTTTATAAGGCAGCACCTTCTTTTTATACATTAGTGCCTTTTCCTTCTAAACTTACCTTGTATGGTATTTCAATGAATCTAGCATTTAAATCTGCAAGTCTTCCAAGTTTATATTTACCATGTCTATACATTGTAGGAACATTTTTTACTTCAACTTTACTAGTATGAAATGGCATGTCCTTAGTCGATTTAGGATCGAACTTATCTTTCCATTGGCCTTTAAAATATATTGCATTGACAAGTACTAACCTTGTCGTGTCATCTAGCATTTCTGTTTTGCAAAAAACATTCATAACAACATAAAACTTTATAGTATGATTGACCATATTGAAGTTAAAATGCATTCAATCTAAATTTTCTATAGTCTTTACATCGTAATGAGTAAAATAAACATATACAAACCAGCACTTATAAGCTCTTTAATGAGATTATTTGTATTTTGTTCGACCCAACTATTAATAATATTTGCAGCTTCTTTATTTTGAGCAAAGTTTACCAATTGAGAAGCAGAGCGGAAATAAACTTCAGTTAAATTTTTGTAACTTGGTTTCAAATTTAAACTTGCTGTTACGAAGACTTTATTTGCAATAACCAGTTTATTGTCTTTAAAACTCTATATTAAAACAGTTAAAAAATATCATACAGCGTAAAATAATACATTTGTTATTTTACATTAATAAATTTACAATTTAAACTATACGTTAAAATAATAAAAGCAGAAGGATGTGAGAGATACCTACGTTGAGATTATCAATAAGTGACTGATAACCAGATGTGGCAAGACTCTCTGATGTTGGCAGATGAAGTACGTTTCTAAACTGGGCTTCTGTGTTTCCACGAGCTCCACAAGCAGCCATAGCAAGAACAACACTTGCACTTAAAGGGGACATTATAAGGTTGCCAGGATTGTATTGTACCACAGTCTGAAAACAATTTGCATCTCTATAATTTATTCATCTTCGATCATTTGCAGGATGCATAAGCATTTCATAAACAGTATTTAGAATAAATTTTAAATTTCACTATTTTACCTTGAAAAATGAAGAACCAAATTGATCTGCACCTTCCAAAACGGAGCGCAGTGCTTCAACATTTTTCTCTGCTTCTGACATTGTTATTAGAGCAAGAACCACCAACCAGAAACTTCTTATTACTAAAACAATTTAGTAACAAATTGTTGTTAAAAACTGGCAAAGTAGATTGTATTATAAATCTTAATAATATGTCTCTTGCTACGTAAATTTTGAAGATTGTGCAAAATAGGTATGAGCTTTTTTAAACACATCTGGCGCATAGCTTGTACGCTTCCTTATCACCATACCCTTGCTTTCAAAAAGAACTTCTCAAATATCATGTCTGTTCCTGAATAATTCCCAGTTATGTGAATATTTAGACTGACCTCTTATCGTCCGCGTAAGGAGGTTTGCTCGCGTGCAGGGATATTTTGGTCGACTTTAATTAGCAATAACTAAAGAACTTAGCCAAAAACACAATTTTTTTATTCACGATTTTCGTCTTATTTCGGCTGCAGGAGTCACCTCCTAAATTTTTGGAAACCTGCAGCCGAACAACCTGTATACAGCTTTTTCGCAGTGAATTATCTAGTATACACCCAACAAAAATATCAATAAAAAAACAGTAAGTTTTTAATTAATATCATTAAAAAATATACTATAAAAGGCATAAACTAGTAAAAGATTAACATTATTACTTGGAAGTATAATTGCACCGTAAAAATGTTACAGCCAATAAATCGAAGAGATAATCAATCGGGTCTTGAGACTTAAAGACAACATTATTCACACAGTAGATATCTCGGAAATAACAATAAAGTGTCGTTTAGAAATACGTATTTCTGATACACACTAGACTCCTTCGCTTGTTGTCCTTTGATATAAAAATAAAAGTGACGAAGATTGAATGTATATAAGGAAAATGATTACTTGAAGAGGAAGGTTTAAATGAGGATTAATTGATTTCATTGACTATCGAAGAGAGATTATATATAGTTTAAAGAGTACTCGACTTACGCATTTATCAGTAGTAGTACTGCAGATTTGTAAGCTTTTTTTGTTACGTAAGGAGGCAACATAACCGTTTGATAACAACATTTTAAAAGGAAGTTCAAACATTTTAAAAGTGACCGTGACCTCTCTAGTGGTATCTTCTTTCTGTCTCTCATCACGGAAATTATTATTACATACTTGTCATTTGATGAAATATGTTATGAACATATAAATATGTATAATTCATATACACATGATATCAAAAAATGTATCTGACTCAATGAAATAAAAACATAAATAATCCATAACAGGTATGTTTACCAAATTGTAAGCATTGCACAAATGGCACATTTCCCGTATAATATACCTGTTGACACCTTCTTTAAAGAATAAAAATACATTCGCTTCATCTGTGCATACTTGCACTACTGCGTACGCTGTGCTGGGTACGTGTGTATATGGGCACTGTGTTAGAAACTGCCCACAATTCCATGAATCGTAGTGTTCGACAGGTCAATTAATTCATAGTTGCAGTTTGAAGCGCTAATGCTTGAAGTGAGGTTCGATTGACACTTGCGCATGAGTAATAAAATAAACGCTGAGAAATTTGACGAACTTTAAGTAGTAATAGAAAGAAGCATTGGAGTTGGAAATAAAATATTTTTTCCAGCTTAACTACGAGAAATAAAAAATGTATAGATATAATATATGATATTAAGATAATTATGCTTTATAAAATATTTTCGTCATTACGTAACAAATTGAATTTATTTTTTAGTAATAGTCAGACTACTAAAAGTAAATTGCAATTCTATAGATTATTTAACAAAATTATTTTGTAATTTATTTGATTCGCTATTCGTATATACTTACAAAAAAGTGTTTTAAATAGGCGAGATGAGAAATAAAGAAAAATTTAATAAAAATGGCTTTACCTAATAAACTGTGGTACTGTAGTTGTTGAGTGCCTGGTTGGAAATGATCCCAAATAGTATCCTCTGGGTCTTGCTAGCTACAAAGAAAATAGTTACATCTATATGTCGAAAATGAGGTAATCGATAAGATTATTCGTGAAATTCTTGAAACAAAAGTGTATTGTGTGTAATATGGATTAATTTTACCAAATGGATTAATGGAACGGTAAATGGTGTACAAAAATTTCTCTTGTGAGAAAGGAGGAAGAAATTTACTTCTTGATTGCTTTAGAGTATTAAAGAAGATATTTATAATGAAACATTTTAGATCTTTCTATGTACACATATATGTATTATTTAAATACGTTTAATCAAATACAATAGGTGACGTCAATTCTTTGATTCTATTTTTATCAAAACATTCCTCATGATTAGGATTTTCGTGACAAAGTTCGCACCCATAGGTTAGTTACCGTGATCGTTGTGGGCGGCGGTTTGGCGGGCTAGGTGGTGGCTTTGGTTTATCATCGCAACAGCATGGTCTACAAGGATCCCATAAATAATATTTTTCTTGTGAATATTCTTGCGTTTGTATTTTAAAAAAGTGGCGCAAAAATAATTATACGATAATTAAACTATGATTTAAAAGGTACGAAAGAAAGGAAAAGAAAGAGGGACATTGTTAAAAAAAAAGTTTCCTATTATAGAAAATATTTTTGATCATATAAAAATAATAAATATTAATAAATTCCCCCATTCTCGGTTTTAAGTTATTAAAGGTATATGCAGTATCTCTTTATATCATCTTTATCTATAAATATCTTTATGTGTCTATTATATACTGTTGACGAAGGAGTACAATAATGCAAATTTAAGGTGAATGCAATACATTTATTGTGAGACAAGGTATTATTAAAATGCTTATAACTACGGAGCAAACGAATTAATTATTACATTACTATGATATTGCAATTATGACATTACTGTCCTTAGACTTTGGGTAAAATATTGGCGCAATAATGATTAAACGAAAATTAAACTATGATTTAAAGGGTACGAGAGAAAGGTACGTAAACAGAACCGCAGAATAATGTTTTTAAGGATCATCAACCTGTCCACTGAATACCTTTACGATGTCTTGATAGTCTCTTTGGTTTTGATAAACAGCATAATAGAACGGCCGATCAATTTTCATTGGAGTCATACTGGGAAACTTGTCAACTGTAATTATTATTCCTGGAACAAATTTTATATAAGCTTCTTCGTTGAAAATGACAACGTGAGTTCGTGCTCGCCATCCATATGCAGAAGCGTTAGTTATAAGAAATAGTAACTAGAGGATGATCCTAGTTACAATCGATAGATTTAATCGATAGGCTTAAGATGCCTTTTTTGTTTTTATCCCTAGTTTTTGTAAGCGCGTTTTGGCTCAGAACAGTGTGATAGATTTATCCATTCAATAAAATAATAACTATTCTGATCTTACCTCTGAGTATAGAAATAACAACATTTTTTAATACCGTTTTTGTAAATGTACAGATCGAACTGAATCTCTACAATTTCTAGGATATCCTAATGTACCATAGAAGAAACGATTCTGCATAACTTTTTCCTATACATGTAACCGCCGCACAGTGTTAGTTTCCGAGACAAAGGCTGTCGGTACCGGTGATTAATTCTGCATATGATTGTGTGTTCGTGGCAGCATATGCATCAGTATTGTGGCCGGCAGCATTACGACGACCGGATAAAATAACATCTGAGACCAACTTACTGCTTGACTCTTTTTTATAATTAAAACGATTTTGGTTAGAAGTCATATAATCTTCCAACTTATATGATAGACTTCCAACCTTCACATGTAATCCCACGTACTTCAATTTTATCAGTATATGGATCGATCAAATTCATCAACTTCATAAAATAGAAATTAAAAAATAAGAAATAGTTGTCTTTACATGAGTTACACTATATATATATATATATATATAGTGTAATATATATATATATATATATCTCCGCTGCAACCTCATTCTCTTTAAATTTACTTTGCACCTTAAACTTTGGTGTATATTTCCATGACTTACAATGTTGCTTAAACTTATATTTTCCTATTTTTTCTCAACATCGGACAAACCTTCAACTTCGTTTGGAAGAATTATAAACATACTGAAATCTGGATGCTACAAGATTTATTTGCTTCTTTTGCATTTCACGAAGTTTTACAAAGAAGCAGCTTCTTTTTACACATTATTGACTTTTTCTTCTAAATTTACCTCGTATGGTATTACAACGAATCTAGCATTTAAATCTGCAAGTGCTTCATATATGTAATTACCTCCTACATACATTGTAGGAACATTTTTTACTTTGACTTTACTAATATGAAATGGCATATCGCTAGTCGACTTAGGGTCGAACTTATTTTTTCATTCGCATGTGAAATATACTGCATGGACTATGAATATCATTGTCGTGTAATCTAGAATTTCTGTTTACAAAAAACATTAATAACAACATAAAACTACATAGTATGATTGGCCGTATTGAAGTTAGAAAGCATTCAATCTAAATTTTCTATAGTATTGTCTTTACATCGTAATGAATAAAATAAACATATACAAAAACAGTTATAAGCTCTTTAATCAGATTATTTGTATTTTGTTTGAACCAATTATTAATAATATTTGCAACTTCTTTATTTCGAGCAAAGTTTACTAATTGGGAAACAGAATAAACATCTGTTAAATTTTTGTGACTTGATTTCAAATTTAAACTGGCTGCTACGAAAACTTTATTCGCAACAATCAATTTATTGTCTTTAACACGTTGACAATTGCGCAAAGAATAACAGAGTACTGTCGGCGTTGCAGCCGTGAAAAAACATCGAAGCCTATGACTATGCTCTTGCAAGTGGGAGACGTCAAGGCCTACTGGCTACTACATCATACAGGTGAATTTTTAATTTATGGCAACCTTAAGTGTTGATGCTTTCTCTCCCCACAGCGGAGGGTGACGAAGGTCAGGTGGCCATCCCAAACGTTGGAATTCCACATTTTCTCACAAATCAACATATTCCCGATTTAATAATTTAATCTGATTTAGTCAAATTTGTGGACAAAGAAATTCAGGAAAATATCAGTATATCGTATTAACCAGTATATCGCGCACGCACAATTATAACTTACCAAATGTCCAGCTGGACAAATCGTAAAGTACAAATTAAATAATAAAAAAAGAAGCAATTGTAGGCAGAATTCACTGCAGTAGGAAATGTTAATTTCTGTAACATATTCAAAAATCATCGAAAACCGTGAGATGAATGAGAGATAACAATAATTTCAGTATTCATTTTATCTATTTATTTAATTCTTCCCTTTCCGCTTCGGATGGCTTTCACCTAACAGGCTTACATCCATACATAATCTTTATTCCACGTGTTTAAGTATAAAATGTGTAACAATAAAAAGTACAAGTATAAAAATAATATATTTTAAGGACTATTAACCTGTCCATTGAATAACGTTACGATATTTTGATCTTCTGATTGACTTTTATAAATACTGTAGAAAAATGGTCGGTCGATTCTCATCATTGGCTTGAGCTGAGAAGAACTCGTAAGAAGGAAGAGTATTGCTGAAACAAATTTTATGGAAATTATTATTGTTTTAAAGAAGTTGTTTAAAAAAGGGAGAATATATAGGATTATATATAGGATTTATTTAATTTTCCGAAATGTATATATAATTTCTAGTATAAGAGCAAAATAATCCAAATTTAAAGTGAATGCAACACATTTATTGTGGAACAAGGTATTATTAGAACTTATAACTACGGAACACACGAATTAATAATCGCATTATAATTAATAATCGCATTACTATGACACTACTGTTGTTAGATTTCGGGTTCGTTTACAGAACCGCAGAATAATGGAAGATTAATATCATTTTCCTTTTCATCTTTCATAGTTTTTATGATATAATAAAAGAATGGCTGATTAATTTTGAACTCCCTTATATTACGAGCCATTTTCTTCATAATAAGCAAACCTGAAACAGAGTTATGCCGAACGTTATGTGTAAGTGTATGAATAGAGCAGAAACAGCGATATGAAGTAAACATATACACGTTCGCTACGGGAAGTCACACATGCGTACATGTTTGAAAGCACTAAGAACTACCCAAAGCTCACTGTTTCATATCTGTGACGGAATATTATCTAAATATTGATATTTGGAATATGGAAAGCCACTGTTTCCTTGAACGACTATGATGAATGTGTTAATATTGAAAGTTTATTGTAAAACATGACAATTATTAATGAAGCTGCTGCAATCTCGGATTTCAACGACATTTACAATATGTTGCAGGAATCAACATTTTGAACAACTTTTTCCTCTGCATGTTACCATCAGACTCTCTAGTTTTCGAGATGTTTACAGAAACTGTCGGTAGCGCTACAGTGAATAGTACCTATAATTATTCGTATGTACAGCGCATGCGTTAGAATTAGTTGTCAGCCATTATGCGATGGTTGGATAAACTGACACCCAATCCTATATATACTTTAAACAAACGATGAGAATCAGGATTGAGTCAGGTGTCAATTTATCCGGTCGGCAATCAATATCAACGCTTGAACTGTCACAGATGCACAATTGTAGGAAGCAAGTAGTGTGAGCGTGTAAGGGCTCCGCTTTGTGACCGACCGCGCCATTCCTGGAGTATAGAACTCATACTGGCTTCGCTGATAGATGTTCGTTAATTATCGTCTACTTTCAGGCGTCCACTGCCTGGGGAACAGCGCGCGACTAATTGTAGGAAGCAGTCACTCCAGTCGTACCGAGAGCTTTTAACAAATATCTCTGAAACTAATACTTTGCGAAAACAAGAAGTTATTTAAAACCATACTGCCGTCAACATAGTAAACAATCATCGAAATGCAATGAAGGCCGCAGCATCCTAAATAATTACCTGAAACATTCTTCGCAAACGATGTTAATAAGAAACATTTATAATATACAACAGTACAATTGTCTTAATTCGATGAAAATTGAAATTTAGGGTGCAAAGTATGTGTAAAAAACAAAATTGCAGAACTTTTAATCGTTTCTACGATGTTGATAATATTATGGGAAAATGAATAATAAACAGAAAATTTCAATTTTATAACTGGATTATAATAACATCGTAATTTCCAAAACAAAGTATATCTATATCTAGTGGTTCGTATATTGAAATAAGTAAAATATTAGACTAATCCCTAATTGATATTTTCCTCTATATCATTTGTCTACAAAATTAGCTGTATCAGGTAAAATTCTTAAATCGAGAATACGTTGATTTATAAGAATCAAATGGAGCATTATGTATATTAATTTCGTACCTCAAAATCGTGAAGTACAAATTATACGGATTGTGAAGCTAATTCGATGAATACCTTACCTTTTTAACTTAATGATTGCTTACTTTTTATTTGCTACTTAATTTTTTAAAAGTGCTCATACCGTAAGTCACAGACACATACACTCGCAGGCACGCACACACGATATTTTTAAAATATTTGTAAATACAGTCATATTTCATTAAGCGGAAAACCTCTATAAGAGTATAAAACTCGATAAGGCAAAGCATCCATGATTTAAAGATTTTTCGGCCTTGAAATTCGAGTCAACCAAGGGACAATTGTACTATAATATTGTAAAGAATCTTGTTTTGTAAAGTGTACAAATACACATATGTATAATGTAAGTACATAATCAGTAATGCATACAGTTAACATAATGCATTTCAACTTATAAAGCAGCAAATTAAAAAGAAGTTAATCGCGATACAAGCACGTTGCAACTAACTTTACACATCTGCAACTGATCATGCTTTTAATTAATAATTAATTAATTAATAATTAATTTCAATCCTGTCAGTGACAAGATTGAAATGATCTGTAAATAAAAACGTAATAGAATGAACATTTCCCCCAATAAATAAATGAACAATGTTGCATATGTACAATGAACGACAATATTTATTTGATTTTATAGCACTTTTTATTCTATTGAGGTAACAATAACATTACTGTAACGTTATCAATGTGAAAGTTTAGGATTCAATAATATATTCCTTAAAAATCTTTGTTCCCTGTTTAGATGATAGCATAGATGAACAGACGATTCACTGACATCTTCTCTGGAATTTCAACAATTTCTAGCTATAGTACTGTAATTAATACTAAAACAATGGCAGCAAATAACTATGCCTATAATAGCAATAAAGTGATTTATACATTTCCCCTGTAACTATATCTATATCTATATATCCTTTAATAATCCAATATACCCTAAAATTTGCAAACAATTTATACGCATTCTCAAGGTATGTACAAAGAAATAAGGTAACAGTTATTTTTTGTTCCCAGATTTGTAACAATTTTGAGGATACTATAAAAGAAAGGATGGTTAATCATCATTTGCATTATTGTCACTGAAGACTGTAATACTGCAAAGAAACCTGGAACAAATTGTATAATAATCGTAATAATTTCAATTGAACAAACGCTATTTCCAATTTTTCCTTTTACTCTTCCTATGTGGCACGACATGAATTGAACGATAATGTATTATATTATGAAGACACCATGAAGAAAAGAAAAGACAAAAGATTTGTACATGACCTATGAATAAACTCCTTACAAACAAACGCAAAAAGGAGTATTAGAGAAATTATAAATGTTGCATATCGTAGAAGTTTCTGCTTTATTATGTTTGATAATAAAAGAAGATACGAACGAAAGCTATTTTATTTCAGCATTTCAAAAATAAACAATACGTGTATACATGGAACCAAAAAAAGCACAAAAATCTGACTGTTAATTATATTATATAATTGCGAATCAAGGTTTAGTTAGCAGTCCCTTGAAGATCCAAATTGGCAAATCAACGTTATAATGTTGAATTGCAAAATAAAAAGGTCTATCAATTTTGAAGACTAAAGTTGGATGTGAAACTCCGATATAAGAAAGAAAGATATAAAACCTAAGAAGGACAAATATTATACATGAATAAATGCTATAAATATACACTGATATTGCCAATGCCAATATACACGTCCCGATGTTATTTTTCTTGTAACAACAAAAAGTAGTGATATGTATAGACCAGAGAATGAATGCAAACATTATTTGGACAAATGTAAAACTAAATTCTGAATTTACTTAACACGGATCATATATATCAGAAGTAATTTACACGCTGGGAAGTGAATTTTTTAAATTAGTCGAAATGATATTGTTTTTTGCAATTTTGCTTTAAATGAACATAAAATTTCGATATTAGAACATCTGTCGTATAAAATAAGAAGCAACGATTGAACTTGATAAACTTTTGGAAATGGTTCGAATTTGTTTCACATGCGCAGCAGTGCAGGAAGATCTAGAATATATAGATTAAGGTTTGCATTTTTACTCCATGAAAGCAAAGTCAAGCCATGAAACCAAAAAGTAGCGGAATCATCTAATGTATTTCTGACTTATTCATAAATTTAAGATTTATTTAATAAAAAAAGGTACTTGATGAAGAAATAGAAAGCGAATGCAGCTTATTCATAAAAGATAATATTATAATTTGTCATACTAATTTGAGAACCAATGTTTTATAGGATAGAAAATTAGAACGTTATCAATAAAAGTGAAGCAAGAGCTGCTAGAAAATCAATAAATCCATCTACTCGAAACAAATGTGAGAACAAAAATTTGAAATGTAGAGTATTTGCATCATTTGTTGTTAGCATTTATTTCTTAATAATTTCACTGCTTGGAAGGTTGTTTCTAAATTGAAACAGTTGAACTTACGATCGTCCCTCAACAACTAAAACGTATTATGGAGTATTGCTCAAAATTATATTGGAAAATTGATTTATCTTGGTAAATTTTGGAACATTCTAATAGATTGTTAACGCGTTAGTGAGATGTAATAACCGAAAAATATAATTTCAACATCAAAGGTACGAACTTATGCATCTTTGAAAATGAAAAAAAAAACGATATAAACAATTATATACATTATAAATAACACATGATATAATACATAAGTAAGTCTAATTTGGTAAGTTTTATACCAATGTTTCAAAAGTGGTTTTTAAATATACAGAATGTTCCACGAAATAAAATGTTCCAGCGACACATTGCATAGAGTACGATTGTTTTTTGGAGGTGAAGATAATATCAATTCTATTCTTTTAAATAGAGTCATGTGTCTTTTGTACAGTAGTTTATATATTTTTTAAATACTGCACATAGATATTGAAATGTTTTCATTAGAAAAAAAAAGAAACAAAATATACAAAATATAAAGAAAACTATAATAAGCAGGCATGAAGATATAATAAATATTACATTACAAGCTGTTATAAGAAAGAAAATAATATGTTAATAAAGTATGCGATAGCGTGATAGCAATATGTTGCATTTATCAAATACTCGACATTTAAATTAATGCAATAAGAACAGAGTACAGCATAGTAAAAAAATGAATCAAATTTTCTGAAGACAAGACAAAATCCTTATGTATTGTGTCTTGATTGCTTTGCATATTAAATTGTAAAAATAAATAAGGAGCAATTTAATAGTTAAAGGAAGCAAGTTAAATTTAAATATGTTACAAGGAACTAAATATAATAAAGTGATAGAACCATAAAGTAGAGATGAAAATTTTTAATAAAATACAAATTATATTGTTAACAATAAGTTAAATTCATGATACACATAAAATAGGAAAGTCTTATTTCTTCTTCCATATATATGCTTCATAGTGTTATACATGATCTTTTAATGGCATTGCGCGATTTCCTTTGATCAAATAATGTTAATATAGTGTATTTTAAGATGTGATATGAATGAGGACAACTTTCTCCACGTATAAACACTCATCTATTTAAATCAGTCGATCCAGTCAAGAAACTTGTTATGTTAATTGTTAATTATGTAAATTGGCAGAGATTGGCAGAACAATCCACGATATGGTGTATGCTGTTAATCCCTAATTTCTTGTTTAATAACGTAAAAAAGTGGGAAAGACGTAGAGATCCATTATACAGTGTAAAGTCGATATATTATCTATTTAATTTTCAAGGTAAAGAACGAAATTACGATATAGATACGATATTCATTAAGAACAAAATCACATTGTCGTATTTAACGATCGACAGGAATGGTCGATCGACGTGGAACTCAATGGGCTTCGGCGGTGACCAAATGCTCGAAAGAGGCCTTACACTGAGACCTGCCACAAGTAATTAATAGTGAATTATTCATTTGAGCCACAAGCTCGAACTAAATAGAGGAAGAATTGGATCACTACAATGTGCTATGTTATTATATCAAAATTAAGGTATGCGAAATGATATTATTGGAAAACCATTAAACTCATAATATAGAAGATTTTGCTATATTAGAGTGAATGTGAAGAAAGGAAAAAGAGCGAAGAAATTGATAGTACGTATAATTCTTGACAAGAATAGACGAGTAATTGACTGAAATAAAAACATATAACATAATCAAGGAAATCACGCAGTTGTCTCGCAGTCAATAACGCGGCCTTTGAAGAGAACTACGTTGTCATCCCGTGATGTAATTGCATAAAAGAATGGTCCATTTACTCGAAACTCTTCTAGGGAAGGAGACAAGAAGAGCGCAATCTCCATTTCTGTCGAAAAAAATTGTATACTATTATCAATTAGAAGAAAAACATTTCAACCAAATTCGTTTCCACTAGATTCGTCCATCTTCCTCCCTCTTTTTCTATTTTCGATTTATGTGATTTTGTTAATAATTATAATAGTTATGATTCATGATTAATATAATTATCATCTAATTAAGGGGACAATGTAAGTATAATTAGATGAATATTTATTGCAGACTCAGCTGTACTAAGGTACACATACTACATCCTTGAAATCCAACATTATTAAAAACTTGCATTTTGAAAAACACTTCTAATATATAGTCAGAATAAATTATTTATTGACAATATAAATAGTTCGCTTAATATGTAGTCAATATATACTTAGCTTCTTTACTGATAATATCTCCATATTACTTTTCACTAAATGATTAAGATATTGTATAAAATAAACTATTACGAAACATAAACATGTGAAAACACATAATAACAGACTATTAAATATTAATGCAAAGAATTGTACATTTAGAAATAATAGGAAGCATGCTGTTTCATGCAGGAAACCAAACATGAGGAAACATTTTGAACTATTGTGTACACGCATAAACATGTTATAGTTATATAATTTTTGATATAATAGATTTAAACTTATGCAGAGAAAATAAATACATATACGCATATTTACATAGCTTGCAAAAAATTAGGAAGAACATACATGCAAATTTTTATTAATTAGACTGAAATATTAAAATATGAAATAATAATACTAATAAACATTCTCTCCAAACTACTCAAAAGCTCAAAAGAATCATAAATTAAGCAAAAATTGAAACCAAGCAAAATACTGTTATTTTATGTGATAAATTTATGTGTTTTTGTATACTTATCATGTAATATATCATATATAATAACATGATATTGTTATAATATTAACTGTATTACTTTAATTTTTTCAGTTCTTCTATTTTTATTCATATGTCACTTTTATATTTCCAAATTACTCAACGCCTCTCAATAGTAAATATTATTATTGACATAAATAAATTTAGTATCTTTTGAAAAGATACTGAAAATGTTTGGTTCGTTAGTACAAAGTGCAGCTCTCTGTGGGATGGAAATCTGGAGGCAACAGGGAGATGGAAGGATAGATTGAATCCAAAGAAAATGTATGAAATGAATCTTAGGCTTAGGTAGAAACATATTATTATATAATAATGGAGAAATACAAAATGTAGAACTGCACATCAGGACAATGAGAAAGGCTTTAAATTATAAAGAATGGGTAAGAGAGTCAGAAAACAAGATAGTGGTAGAATGTAGAGAAGAAAAGAAGTAAGAAGGAGAAGAAGAGGAAGAACAAAAGGAGAGGAGGAACAAAAAGCAAAGAGAAAACTGAGAAGGAATATAAAGAGATAGTTTGAAAAGTGATGAAGAAGGCTATATACAAGGAGAGAAGGAAGGCAATGGAGGATAACAGATTCCAAGTACAACAAAAAATACATTGGACTGGTGTAGAGAAAAAGGAGATGGAGAAAGGCAGAGGAGTAAATTTATACAGGGGCAGAGGAGAAAATTCAGAGCCAAAGATAATCAAAGAAGATTTTTGTTTTCATCTTCTTTTTTTAGTTTGCTAAGGATATTACACTATCGCCTTGTAGAAAATATGATTAGATATAAAATTAGTCTAAGTAATCATTAGACAACTAGATATCATCCTCTAACCAAGAAGCCAGAGCAGTAAGAAATAAATAAAAAAATAATTTTTGTATAATATTACATTATTTTTTTAATATTTTCATATCTACTATCTGCGCAAAGTGATATCTTATGTAATTTAAATATAAACTGCATAACATAGAATGTTTATTCACTTACCAGTTGCAGCAGCAGCTTCGCTTCCTTCTTCATTTACTTCAATGTATGCCTTTTGTATAACATCACTGACATACAAAGTTTCATCAGCAATCCCAGAAAAATTAGCACGAGCAGTAAATGCATCAGTCAATCCCATCTACACAAAATAAGAATTAAAATACAAGAAATAGTTTTCTGTACATGAATTACACTTTATATATATATACCTTTTTTAAGACATTATTAAGTTGAAGCTTACTTTCCACCTTGAACTTTGGTAACCATAATTCTATTTCCTGCTCATACCCTTGACTTAAAATGTTCGTTAAACTTGTATTTTGTAATTTTTTCTCAACATCAGACAAACCATCAATTTCATTCGGAAGAATTATGATCATACTCAATTCGTCACCCTAGAAGATTTATTTGCTTGTATTTCACAAAGTTTTACACAGAAGCAGCTTCCTTTTATACATTACTAACTTTTTCTTCAAAACTTACCTTATATGGTATTACAACAAATTTAGCATCTAAATCTGGAAGCACTCCATATCTATAATTACCTTTCCTATACATTGTGGGAACATTTTTTACTTCAACTTTACTAGTATGAAATGCCATATCGCTAGTCAACTTAGGGTCGAACTTATCTTTCCATTGGCCTTTAAAATATACTGCATTGACAAGTACTAATTTAGTCAAGTCATTTAGCATATCTGTTTACAAAAAAACATTGATAATAACATAAAACGACATAATGTGGTTAGAAATACTGAAGCTAGAATGCATTCAATCAAAAATTTCTATAGTATTTTCTTTATACTTTAATAAATAAAATAAACATATACAAACCAGCACTTATAAGCTCTTTAATGAGATTATTTGTATTTTGTTCGACCCAACTATTAATAATATTTGCAGCTTCCTTATTTTGAGCAAAGTTTACCAATTGAGAAGCAGAGCGGAAGTAAACTTCAGTTAAATCTTTATAACTTGGTTTCAAATTTAAACTTGCTGCTAAGAAGGCTTTATTTGCAACAGCCAATTTATTGTCTTTCACATTCTACATTAAAACATGAAAAAAATATTATATAGCATAGAATAATGCATTTGTTATTTATATTGATAAATTTACAATTTATACTATACATTAAATTAATAAAAGCAAAAGGTTGAGAGAGATACCTACATTGAGATTATCAATAAGTGACTGATAACCAGATGTGGCAAGACTCTGTGATGTTGGTAGATGAAGTACATTTCTAAACTGGGCTTCTGTGTTTCCACGAGCTCCATAAGCAGCCATAGCAAGAACAATACCTGCACTTAGAGGAGACGTAATAAGGTTGCCAGGATTATCTTGTACCACAGTCTGAAAACCATTTGCATCTCTATAACTTATTCATCTTCGATCATTTGCAAGATAAATAAGCAGTTCATAAGTAGTATTTGGAATAAATTTTAAAGTGCACTATTTTACCTGGAAAAATGAAGAACTAAATTGATTTGCACCTTCCACGACGGAACGCAGTGCTTCAACATTTTTCTCTGCCTTTGACATTGTTATTAGAGCAAGAGCCACCAACCAGATACTTCTTATTACTAACAAAAATTTAGTAAAAAATTGTTATTAAAAACTGACAAAATAGATATGAAATTTGATATATGTATTACATATAATATTATTTTATATAATATTATTATCTTTACATATAAGATATATGTATATATATTATATGTAAAAATTAGGAACTTTATGATTAAGTATCGTTTTAAATAATTTTGAACATTAAAAATTAAATTTACTATCAATCAATACATATATTACATGAAATAATAAATGACTTCTTCAAAGTTCTAGAACTTAACACCAATTAGAATTTAACGAAAATATTCTATAAATTTAAAAATATTTTTAATACATTTTAATATATTGTATGATTTCATACAGATAATCTGTATATTATTTTGAACATTATCAGTAATCATTATCAAATACCAAACATTTCTTAATACAGTAATATCCGAAACCTAACTTATGAGCCGTTTAAAGCAAAAGCGGTGTAATTCAATCTTTCGTCTCTTAGGTTTAACAACACATCTCGAGAGCGTAACCTTCATTGTCTTTTGTGCACAAGAGATGTAAGTATATCTTCATTAGTTTTTCGATGGATAACAGAATAACTGAGAATCGCCTATCCAGTCCCTTACAGAATTCTTACTTTATCTCTCATTATTCAGGAATCAATTTTTAATAATAATTAATGTACAAACATTGTGTAAGTTATGCAAATACCTGTAATTTTAAGTTCAAGATACTTATAAAATTCAAGGTTTTACTACTCAAGGTTTTACTAAATCATAAATAAAAGGTTAATTATATTATAGTTAACATATTTATAGTGTGCATATTTGCTATTTTCTTTGTAATCTTTACAATTCTTTATTTCTTTCGACTAACAGCAACTTTTACAAAAATTTACAAAGATCACCTTGTAAACTAACCCTTCTAATTTTTCAGAAAAGCTCAAGTCGTTTGTTTCAATTTCAAAAAAAGTTATTCCGTTTCAAACGAGGTTCGAATATTAATAACTTCGTATGCGAATTGGATACGTATAAATTTACACCTCATGTTTCTTGTCTGATACAACCATATACCATTAATTACGTAAATTAACTCATAATATATACATTGTTTTAAATGAAGTAAACAATATTAATTGCTCATTGTAATAGGCTTAGATTAAATTAAACAAGACAAAAAAGATACTATATTGTTAAAAAATTATTAATTTAAGTGTTAATTACTTATTAATTATTTATATTATTTATAGTATTTTATCATTATTAAATATTCGGAGTATCCGCTGATAAAAATAAGCATATAAAAAATACTAAATTCAATTATGACAGCTTCTCGCGTGTCATACACTATACATACATGACATATATAGAGACGAAGATAATGTTTTCCGTAAATCTCACCGGGGAAAACCCATTAATTACATACGTGAATATGCATTGCAATAGACTTATTATTTTCAACGCGACTAATAATACCATGCAAACGCAATGGAAATAATGATTTAACAATAATTAATATCACATTTACTACATTGCGCAGTCACAGTAATCAATATTATCATATGATATCGTACTATCGCTGTCAACGGTATTTATCGATGGACAAATTGCTTTTGTTTCGTAACACATTTTATGAATGTGACAAATATAATTGTTTTTCTAACGTAACAATTACGATTATCTTGATTTTATGTAAATTTTACAATTGTTAACGTAGATTATTATGTAAATATTTTTTAAGCATATTTGTAAATATTTGTATAATAAATATTTATACATTAAGTTAATACTTTATATTTTACTATTTCAGCAATATACTTTTGTAATTCTGATGGTTTTACGTCTGAGATATTTCTGAATAACGTATGTGGTTATATACGTTAAAATTACAAATATGTAGATAATTATGAGTAAGAATGCTAGTTACCGTGTCAATAGATATTAAATATCTCTTCGTTGAAATATCTATTACACTAAGATTTACGAAGTTACTAAAAGTAGATATAGGATACATGCCTCGAGATCAATTTAACCAATCTAGATACGAATAAAACATAATGTGCCTTATTACAATAATTTATCTTGTGACATATTTAATAACAGATTTTCTCAAATGAGAAAGAAACGCCACGATATTCGTATCGTCACCGAATGTGTGCGTTTTTCATCACTTTGAAACTTGATTACAGCAATCAGTATCGTATAATTATAAATAACTATATTATCGGTCAAAGAAACAGAAATTCCATGAAAAATGCAAATTTTATACGCATAAAATTCAACTGTTGTTACTTATATTAATATTTTAATTAATTTCATTTTCCAATTCAGTTAACTGAAACGTTATTTTTAAAATATCATGTAAGTAACCCTACATCAAGTTGATTAGTTTTCCTTAATACTTAACTATTTATGTATAAAAATGATGTATATAAATAAATATAATTACTTGTAAGATGAAACGATGAAAGGATATTCGTTCAAAAATTTCTTACTTACATGTAACATATACTCATAAAATTCTATACTCTTCCTATTCAAATACGTAATACGGAACGTAATACGGATTAGAAAATGGTATCAAACATAATGGACCTACACTTCGTTCATTATTCACTTATACAGCGGTTAATGACAGTGTTCGAACGACCTCTAAAATAAAATAACTTTTTAAAAATTTAACCAAATGACTTGAATTTTTGTTAGATGTTAGAAGAATTGGTTTAATACACGACATATAAAAAAATTTAATAAAAATTGCAATTATTGGAATAAATAAAAAATAGTAAATATCTTGAGGAAAGTAATAAAAGACACTTCTTACAATATTTTTATCTATGCCTGTAATGAGAATTCAAACAATATGTTTCATACATTTATGTCAATTATACATATGTGTATGTACATGCTAGTGTGTATGTACATGAAAATTCCATCGAAATCGATTGATGCAGAAACAAGCGACAAACGTTGAAAGATGCAAGAATTTTTAAATTTACTTCAGTTATACGCCGAAAGTCGTGAAGAACTACGATTTTCATCATTTTTTTACCACTTGTAATTCACAGCAACGTTAATCAATTTTGATGAAATTTTCAGCATGTATGTAACTGGCATAAATCTACATAACTGACATAAATGTATTATTTACATATATTTTATTACAAATTCAGATAAAGAAATCCTAAAAAGTGACTTATTTTCTTCGCGATTTCGATCAGTTGTAATTTTTTCACAACTTTTTTATATATCATCTAGCAAACCAATTCTTCTAATTTCTAGACAAAATTTCTGCTTTTATTCTGCTTTAAAGAATTTTCGAACATTTTCTTAAGTCACTACATATTATTGTCACACATATACAGTTTTTACGCAATGAAAAGTTTAGCAGCCTATACCCAACAAAAACATCGATAAAATACAATAAGTTCTTATTTAATATCATTAAAAAATATGCTATAAAAGACATAAACTAGTAAAAGATTATTATTTAGAAGTATTATTGCACCGTAAAAATATTAAGGCTAAAAGGTCGGAGAGATCATCAGTCTAGTCGTAAGACTTAAAGACATCTTTCTCGTACAATAGAAATCTCGAAAATAACAACGAAGTATCTTTTTGAAGTACGTATTTCTGACACACATTAAACTCGTTTGCTTGTTGTAATAACATCCATTGCTGTGAAAGTAGTATCACGAAGATTGATTAATTATACATAAAGAAAGTAATTACTTGGAGAGGGAGGTTTAAATGATTATTAATCGATTTGCATTAACTACCGAACAGAAATTGTGCATACTCGGCTTAATCCGGGGCGAGATCCGCGATAACCTACCTTCTCAAATACACATATATAAATTTACTTACATATACGCATAGTTGAGATCCACTCGTTTTACCGGTTAAACCTCTTCTAAAGTTAAACGCAGACTGCAAGAAGAATCGTCTGAACGAATATAAAAGCACGATTAACAACCTCAGGGAAATCCTGGCAGTGGGCAGAGCGAACCTACCAAGGATCGGTAACGAACGAACAGCCAATCACGATGTACGCATTCGATTGTCCGTAGAATCGTACAGATTAAACAAACATGAATTTTAAATCTTATTTGTATTCTCGACTCTATATCCCAGATGGACTTGATGTTACAAACATAAACAGGGCAATGATATTTCGACTAATATTATCAGAAAAAGTACTGTTAATATAAATATTTACATATATCTATTATATGCTTCCTCTGTAGCTAGTAAATTTACGCATATTCTGTTTGTTCATTCGAATAATTTTCAAAAATGTGAAGTTGATTTATTTAAAAGTTATTTGTGTAAAAGTTCTAAATTTCTTCTTTTATTTTATTCGCTCTTCTATAAAATAATTCTAATAGTCCCAATTCTACGAAGGATACAACGACGTTTTAGGATTTTTTACCAGCGATTTATTTCGATCGATGTTTACATTAGTTGCGAGACCTACGTATGAATTGAGAGATATGGATAAACCTGATTAGAATTCCATACGCTCTACCAGTAAACAGATGACTGAAATATTCTAAGAATAATATGTATGTGTAGATTCTCCTAAATGTGCTAATGGAAAATATATAAAGATAGGCACGTAATATTGTTATTAGTCTACAATAATAGATTATGAATATCGTGTTTCGAAATTCTTCATTTAAGTAATTAAAGTACAAAATATTAATTTTCTATTTTGTTATAAATCTAAGCAAATTAAATTATAAAGAAAGTAAAACTTTTTTTTTTACTACATGTTCCTATTTTAATGAACGAGGGAAGGCTTAAAATTATCACTTAGACCTAAAGAGTACTTGACTTATGCATTTATCAGTAGTAATACTTCAGATTTGTAAGCCTCTTTTTGTTATGTAAAGGGACAACATAATCGTTTGATAACAACATTTTAAAAGGAATATTATCTGAAGCATTCAAAGAATAAAGAAAATATCTTAGTAAGAAAAAGTGACCTTGGCCTCTTTAATGATATCTACTTTCTATCTCGCATCACGGAAATTAGTATTACATATTTGTCGTTTGATGAAACATGTTATGAATATATTAATACGTATGATTCATATACATATACATATGCTGTCAAAAACTTTATCTGATTCAATGAAATAAAAACGTAAATAATCCATAATAGGTAAACTTACCGAATTATAAGCGTTACACAAAAAGCAAATTTCCCGCGTAATTTATTATAACTGTTAGCACCTTTCTTACGATATTATAACTATATTCGTTTCGCTTGTGCGCAATTACCTTACTATAGGTAACGTGCTAGAAACTCTCCACAATTAGATGGATCGCTGCCGCACAAGTGCCTGAGGTTAGGTTCGAATGAGAATTGGGCATGAGTCATAAAATAAGCGCTGGGAAATTTGACGAACCTTAAATAGTAATAGAATCAAGCATACGAATTGGAAATGAAATATTTTTTTCAGCTTAACTACGTGAAATAAAAAATGTATAGATATAATATATGATATTAAAATAATTACTCTGTATAAAATATTTTCGTCATCGTTACAATGAGAATATGTAACAAATTGAATTTATTTTTTAGTAATAGTCACACTATTAAAAGTATATTGGAATTCTATAGATTTTATAAATAACGAAAAAGAGAAATATATTTATCTAAAAGTACATCTATACAATGTATAGGATCAAATATATTATACACTAAAACTATTTCACGTTTCACATAATACGCACTATATATTTTTAAAAAATTGTTTTGTAACTTACTTTATTCGCTATTTGTATATATCTATGAAAGAGCGTTTTAAATAGACGACACGAGAAATAGGAAGAAATATAATAAAAATGGCTTTACTTAATGAACTGTAGTACTATAGTTGTTGAGTGTTTGGTTGAAAATGAACCCAATAGTATCTTCGGGGTGTGGCTAGCTACAAAGAAAACAGCTTCATCTATATCTTGAAAATGATATAATCGATAAGATTATACGTGAAATTCCTGAAACGTAAGTGTATTGTACGTAATATGGATTAACTCCAATTGGATTAATAAAAAGCTAAATAGTGTACTAAAATTTCTCTTGTATGAAAGAAGAAGGAAATTTACTTCTTGACCATTTTATAGTATTAGAAAGGATATTTATAACGAAATATTTTAGTTCTTTCTATATGTACGTATATATATTATTTGATTAAAATCATTTGATGAAAATATAATAAGTGACGTCACTTCTTGATAATTTCATTCTACATATAGAGCATATAAACCGACATATAGTAAAAAAAAATTTTATGCTTTCTCGAAATATTCACGATTGATATCTATACCGCGAAATGCTCTATTCTTATCACAACATTTCTCATGATTAGGATTTTTCTGACAAAGTTCGCAACCACAGATTGTTTCCCGTGATCGTTGTGGGCGGCGGTTTGGCGGGCAAGGTGGTGGCTTTGGTTTATCATCGCAACAGCATGGTCTACAAGGATCCTATAAATAATATTTTTCTTATGAATATTTCTATATTTGTATTTAAAAAACTGGCGCAATAATAATTAAATGAAAATTAAGATATGATTTAAAAGGTACGAAAAAAAGAAAGAAAAGAGGAGCGGTACTAAACAAAAAATGATTCATTTTATGGAAAATACCTTTGATCATGTAAAAATAATAAATATTAATAAGCTCCCCCTTTCTCATTTTTAAATTATTAAAGATATATGCAATATATGTTTACATTATCTTTATCTATCTATCAATCTATATATATATATATATCTATATATCTATATCTATATCTATATATATATATATATATATATATATATAGAAGTCGCGAAAAAAGAAGTCGAAAATATAGAATAAAAACTTTTCGTTTGAGGTTTTGTTTTCGAGAAAATCGATTTTGAATTTTCGCTCGATACGCGTGTGGTACGTTATAACGGATCTCACTGTAGATCGTTGTCTCGATGGAAAAATTAAAAAAAAAAATTTTTTTTTTAATTTCTTTTATTCTATATTTTCGACTTCTTTTTTCGCGTAGAATCGCCCCCTTTCCGCTTGTACCACCAGTTACCAACCACCCTGCATATATAAAATTTAAATATTTAGAATGAAGTTGACTTGTTGTAAAAATACCTGCATCTTAATATAACAAAAAGATTTAACATCGGGGCAAATATCACTAGGACTTTGATACGGCAATTTTTTTGAAAACGAGGGATCTACACCATCTTTTGTATCTTCATCTGATAATTTCATTCCCTTACTGAGTTCTTCGTCCGGCTTTTTCTTTTTCTTTTTCGGGGGACATGCTGATTTAAACTCCGTGGAAGTCCAAAATACTCCACTATTTACTAACCAAATAACAAATTATATGTTAAATGATAAATTATCTACGAGACAATTAAAAGAAATTTCATATTATCATTATAGGACTACAAAATATTTACTAGAGTCACAAAATTTATTCCATACACTTCTGCAGGGTTCATCATTGGTCATAACTTACTAGAATTTTTAAATCTTTTAAAATATGCTATATTAATGGCTTCTACAACACAAAGAAAATTTTGAGGTTAATTTTAGCAATTCATTCTTAAATAGGAATAATCAAAATTAAGAATAATTTCATATCGATACGGCTACGTATATGATATATTCGATCTTCAATCGTTTTGTTTTCAATCACAGATAAGTGTATCTTTGTCTGTGCTTATATATATTTTAGAAAAAAATGTTACGTAGTATTTATTTCAATAATTAAACCACATTAATATATAAATCTTACAGATGTAATTTTTCCTTAAATGTACGCAATTTCTTATACGTAATTGCCCTAATAATAAGTGGTTTAAATTTTAAATTAAGAGTGGGAAGAAATTATTTACTAATTTGTCGCCCCCTAGTGGTATAAAAGGAAGATCCACTTTGTCGACAGTAAATGGTATGAAAATAACCAAACTTTTATTTAAAGCTATTTGTGTAAAGTACAAAAATTATTAAATTGTGTTCTATTTAAATGATTATATAGCTAATTATAAATTTAGATTAAGAAGAAATTATTTCGACGAGTTTTTATTCAGGCCATATGATATGTATCATATTTTGCAAAAGTAATATCAGAGAGGAAATATTAATATTTGATTTATTATTGAATATTGCACACTGACAAAGATGGACGATTATACAATATCATTAGATCCTGAAACAGAAATGGTCTGCACATTATATTTATTTAAGGATGTACAAAATTCTAATGAACTGCATAAAAAAGTTATGGACAATAAACTTTCTTGCTGTATTATAAAAGCGGCGCTTATAGTGGATCCTTTGCAAGTAATAGTAGCTGCTAATAAAGCTGCAATTAGTGCAAAAATGACTCAGTTAACTACAAAAACTTTATACACTGAGGTATTGTTTAATTTATCAGTATCAAAAAACATATCACGTTCATTAGCAGATTTTGGTATCGGTAATAATGACAAAAATATACTAATAGCAATAATACACAAAGAATGTGATGGATATTCAATGTCAGAAATACTACTGAACAGTATAAAAGGAGAAAGGGTATTGATTTCGAGTTTGCCTCAATTTACAAATTTTGATTTAGTAAAAAGAAGATATAAAATTGGTGAGAATGAATTGAATATTTCTACTCTCGCTAATTCTGTTATTTCTAGAATTAGCTGTAAAGATTTTATATTATTGAAATAAAAAGATCTTGGCAGAATTTTTTTGTAGATAAACATTATTTGATATCTAAAATTTTTGTGTACTTATGTAACAATGTTTCATAAACAAGAAAAAATTAAATATATTGTAATTTATTCATTGTAATCAATATTCTTGTTTTATTCCTCATATTTATTTTTATAAACCTCATAGCAACTTAATGTGATAATTGTGAATTTTCTGTAAATGTTTAACGTAGATTTTCAAATTCTTAGTATATAAATACAACATGGAAAAAAGATAGTTATTACATTTTGCGATTTGTACATTATTCCTGGTTATACGCTTGTTCAAGGATTACTACAAAAAGGAAAGCTGTAAAGTAGATTTCAGTGAAAGATACTTTTTCCTCTTTTTATTCACTCATAAATAAAGCCAGGTATGCGCTGAAAACAATTTTTATATCTGCAAGAACACGGTATCTGTCAAAACCTGCAGGAGCAAATTTGCAATTTAAGGACAACACCCTCAATTGCATACAAAAGCAATATAATGACAGTTTGTTACGTATTCCTTGGCAAACCACACATTTCACACATTGCAAAATCTGCTGCATTGAGAAATGTGCAATGTGAACAAGTCCAAAGTCCTTGATCAGGTGGTGAATTTACAATTGAATCTGTACCAACTGCTATTCCACTTCCCTCTGCAAGTGCAGAAGCTGAAATCCTTGAGCTATTATCAAACATTGGTTGAGATGTAGATGCTGTAGTTTCAGATATGAGTTGCTCTACTGTTGCCCATTGTTCTAAACGTGACCACTCTATAGCTTTTTCTCTATCTTTTGCACGAATTGCTTCTAATAATGGCATCATATGCTCCTAAAATAACAAATAAGCCTATTTTATAACAATGAAATAAAACTAAAATAGACGAGTATTTAATAGAAAACACATTGTACCTTCATTGGAAACATATCCATTGTTGCAATAAAAATTAATAAGTGAAAATCTGAAACTGCTTCTAGAAATTGTTCTTTGCTAAATTGTTGCATGTAAGAACAAAGTGAGCTAAATTCTTGAATTTGTCCATCGATGAGTCTAAAACCAAATAAAATTGACATCGAAACTATTTTAAAAAACTATAATCTGTTCTATGTACTTTTTTTACATACCTATTTTCAATAAGAAATGGTGTGATATTATTGCTAACATAAAAAGTAAACTGTGGATTAAGTGGCGTGGATGCAGGTATATCTACCAATAAATATTCTACTGGCAAAGGTCTTGCTAGCCTTGACACTTCATTTCCATAAGAATCTTTTTCCTGGAGATCAAACAAAACAAAATATTAAAATGCAAAAAGACGAACATTTCATTGTGATATTTCAATTTTATTACATTTTCCAAAATTATCCTATATTCATATTGTTTCGTTGATATTTGTTATTAGAAATCGCAAATATGCAATGAAAATTGAGATAAATTGTATTGAAAACATTTTGAAAAGACATTCTGTAATAAGTGTGTCAACACGTCCCTATACACAGACAGGTCTGGCAACTTCTGTGACAGAGATAATGTCATAAGGTGCGCTTTACAAATCTGCCGCTAGACATAGAGCGCTGCGATCTACAGGTTAGCGAAAACAATATACGTATAATTATACATCATAGCCGTTTCCCACACAGTATAAGAAGTATAGACCACGCATTCTTTAGAAAAATTGTGATAACAAATATTTGTTTCTAACAGATAGAAAAGGAAAGGGAGATCTAGTTATTTGTCTCTATCTCTTTTTCAACGTATTTTCTCAACACGGTATTTGCAGTCTACACTTATATCTATATATATCTCATGATATGCGACCATGTCCGCAACTTATACAATACACAGCGATTGAAGCGCCTTATTGCTTAGCAAATAAATTGAGAATCTTTTGTCCTTCGCTTAAGAGTCTTATACTCATCATAGGAATTGCCAAACCTCTATACGACCGTGAGGTCGAGTAACATCTAGAGAATTTGATTGGTTGAATTGAAGCAGATATAACTAGATTTTACAAGAAGGATCATGAAGGCAAGTCCATAATACTTGTAATGGTTGGTCGAATGCGCGCGCAATGGTAGAAGCCGCAGACGACAAACCGGCACCGTTTGCCACGAGTCGAACCCGAAAGTGTATAAGAAAGAGGAAAGAGGAAGAGAGAAGGAGGAAGGTTTAGGATCGACGAGAGGGGGTAAGATACGGGACGAAGAGAGGAGAGAGCAACAGCGTAAGCGACTAGCGCGCGCTGTGGTGTGTGTCGGTCGGTCGGTCGGTCGTCGCCGCCATGCTAGTGGTTAGTTTAGTGAACCAAACATCATGATGTGGCAAAACGTTCGCACGAGCTAAGACTGAAGTAACGCCGCGTTACCGGCGCGCCGTCGTTATGTTATCCATAATAACTCACGACGTTCGATAAGCGTAAAACACGTAACGTGAAAAAGTACAAAAAAAAAATATAGCTTTGGTAAAAAGCTCTCGACGACGGCAACTGCGGCGACGAAAAACGTCGGAGTGCTCGCGATTCCTGCGTGCGGAACCGCACAATACTACGTCAATCCCGATGTAAATTAAAGTCCTAAATCGTATATTCGAACAAAAGTTACGGAATAATCATCGTCACGGTATTACGTTAGGAGTGACGAGTGCCAACGATCAGCCTCCATCGCGCGGCAAGGAGACGATCACGAATCGTATACACGGTACGGAACATTTACGCTCCTACAATCCAACGAAAGAAAGAACAAGCAAGAAGCAAAAGAGAAAGAATGAAAAGGAGAGTATGCATGTGTAGTATAATGCGTGCGTGTGCGCGCGCTTGAATGCGTGATAAGGAGAAGGCATATGCTTTCTGTGTAAGTGTGTATTGTGTGTAGACGTGTTCTCTGTGACGCGCGCGCGCGCGTGTTGTATGCCATTGTGAGCACGAGAAAAGAGACGAGTGTGCATGCATATGTATGTGAATAAGATAGAAAGAGACAGTGTGAAAGAAGTGTGTAGAGGACTGACAAACGAGAGCGAGAACGAGAGGTAGAGAAAGAAGCAAGCGTGTACGTATAAACACCGAGATGATACGACCGAGAGAACAAACTTAAGTAGAATATTCCCGCGGAATTTGCCTAACACGTAGTAGTCCGCGTTCGAGTCATTTTTAACTTAAACCGTGGACTTGTCACAAGTGGTGACAGCCGTAATATCACGGAAAGTACTCTGCGATAAGCTGCAAGAATCCATATATCATACGGCCGAAGGTTTTATCGGTTACAGCTATTGGTGTTTGAAATATGCTTTGCCAGAACTAAGAAATGTGACCGTTCTATATACGTCTACCTCTGTTAGCTGCCTTTCCCCTTAATACGCTTTCCCCGTTAACGAATGGTAAATCCCAAAACTTCGACTGTTCGACCCCCTTACGTTTTGGCGGGATTTTCCACGCATGCGCGTTCTCCCATGAAATGTCATTTTTTACGTATCAGTAGTGTCAGCCAAATTGTTGCATAATAATTTTGATGTTGTAGTCGATGTGTCAGATAAGGGGCTAACCTTCTGAGGACGAGTTCGTGCTTAGAGACAATACAATGAAATAACACGATTGAACCTAATGTGGCGTGTTATGAAACAGTTTTACAGCGTACGAACAAAAAGAAAAGGAAAATAGTAGAAAGAGAGGAATCAAGTAAAAGAATTGCGGTTCTAATTTGTATATTGTACTAACGAATTCGTTCTTTCTTTTGTTCCCTTGTTTTGTATTTGGTTAAGAAGAAAAAAAACAAAACGATATGTTTTCGTCGTACATACATACGTTCGATTAAAGAAAAGATATTCCCAAGTTCATTCATGAAATAAATCGCATCGCATTGAACGATTCTAAAACCTTGTATAGAATATATCACAAACAAGAATACATATATATGTACCAGTAACGAAATAAATATGTATAAAATATTTGATATTGTTTGAATAATAAAATACGTAGTATGCTTCAATAGTCAACAATTTTCGTAGATAAATTTAAAGACACATTTTATAAAAACTGCGAATTGTATCACGTAAGACAAAGGAGAGAGTGGAACAGAGAAAAAAAGACGAAAAGAAAACAACATGAGTTCAAATGTTGAACCGTTATTAGAAATAGGTATATCAAGCTCGACCTTTATATTATTTTCCTAAATAGTACGACGCATACATATAACGAAACGAACATTTCTTATATGTATACTTTCTTCTAACTCAATCTTTCATAAATTATCTGTGTCCCTTTTCGTATAATTCCGTATAAGATTACAATGATTTAACCAGGTAAAATGGTAGTTTTTGAATATTTCGAATAACGTAAAGACCTACGATTACAAAGAATACAAGAATAATTAATGAATAATATTTTATCATTTTCCAGATGCTGGATCCAAGCGTTCTAACGGATTTAGAGGAACTGACGCTTTGCAGTTATTGCAAGCAGAAGTATAACGACGGGGAGCAATGCCCGAAATATCTTAGTTGCAAGCATTACTTTTGCTTGCGTTGCATAGAGAACAATTTATTAAAGGGACGTGAGTTGTTTTGCGCGCATTGCTGGAAGAGGACGGACCTGGGTGATCAAGGACCGGACGCTCTACCGACGCACTCTTCTCTCCTTGTTCTAACGAATAATTTGTCTCACTTAAAAATCACCACGAACAACACATCTGGAAAGACAAATGATAAGGAAAGAAAGGTACAGATAACTTTTCCTTAACGATTTTGGGTTTGTCAGCTGGTTATTTGCATTGTCAGATCATACGTAAATGGTAAAGAAAGCATGCAGCTCTGAAGCCATATCAACATAAGTTCTAATAGTAATAGGATTATGTTATAAGGCCTGCAAATAGTTTCCGTTTAAAATATAGGATGTAAATTTAATGCTTGAAATTCTTTTTGGAATGGAAAATGGTTATCGGTTTACCATATGAGAATATATTATAATATATAATGTAAAAAAATCATATGAAATGTATGATTATTATAACATTGTTACAGAGTGAGAATTGTCACACGCACGGAATGCCTCTGGCATTGTGGTGTGCGACATGTTGCACTGCACTTTGCAGAGCATGCGCCACTCCACAAGAACACCCAGGTCACCAGATTAAATCGCAAACTGATGCCAAAGAACAACTCATATCCGATGTAAGTTTTAGAATGAGTTTTATTTGCTGGTACATTTGTTGTCGGCATGTATATATACGCAGTTTTGCGCGTATTAAAGAGTTATCGAT